CAAAACGAAAGAAAGTTCAGCGCGCCTCCGAGTTCCTAGCACTCAACTCCCTAGGGTTAATACCCAGCGTTTTAAAGACCTTTATTTATTATTATTTATTCGAAAAATACAAGATCAGCTACAAAAATGAACTTTATTTGTACTAGAGAAAATAAAATAAAATAAACTGTTTTTTTTTTAAATCTTCCATTGGTGAGCCGCAGTACTAAGTTCAGTCAGTGACTTAAACTCGAAATTAATGCCCAAATATGTACTGCATGCCAGTAATTCTTGGAGCTAGCTCAAACCTCAACCCTCGTTTTTTGAAGCAAAAAAGGTGGAACCCTTTCTCTTTACAGGAGAATAACCGTTTGGCCTGAAAGAAAAACCAAGTTCGATCATTAAGACTGTTTTTGGTCCTTATTAGATCTGATTTCAAAATAGATCATGGATAATGACATCAGTTTAAGATCGCCTTTTTCACCGGAAGCTTTCACAGAGATAGACGACGTGATCAAGTTATTTTGTTTCAGAGGCAACTTGACTGAGCATGACTAACAATCTCTATCACCCCATAACATAAGTCACGTTTAGAAACAAATAATCTGCCAAATTTGTCATAGTTATTTATTTCCCGACTGGTTGAGAGAGCTTATTAAGCCGTTCGTACGTGCGTCGAATTGTAGGAAAACAGGATGCGTTAACGTTTGTAAACAACAAGTCGCACCTGTACCGAGGAGCTACCCGCTATTTAAATATCTTACTTCTAGAAAAGATCAGAAACCGAATATTTAAAAAAGAAAAACAAAAAAGGGGGGGCTTCACTAACATATATTCAGAAAGTAAACTGTGCTACATGTTTTTTTTGTATTTCTAAAGTGAACAAGAAAATAATCGCTTGCGTGATGAATTTTTATAACGAAAACAACGATTAATTCTATCAGACTGTAATTGTATGTAGCTAGCGGACAAATTATGCAGAAGCACGCGCGCACAGACAGTACAATTATTTGACGGGAAGCCCTGCAAGGCGAAAATAAATTGAGTTGTCTAGTGCACATGTAAATGTACAAATAGCACACTGAAGGGAATCGAATCGGGACAAAAAAATAACTAAATGTAGCTCTATTTATTTAATAATGTTAATGGTTTTTTTGGTTATGGGTGATCGTTTGTGTACACGCCTCTAAGCAACACGAAGTCGTTACGTGACCACAAATCATTACATCAAATATTTTGTGCATGCCTCGACTATTTGTAATGATGTTTATTTTTTGCACCTCCAAAATACCTGGAGTTGTCAAACTATAAAGAAAAAATACGGCGGGACTAAACCCACTATTGAATCGAAGCGTGGAAAGCAATTACTGACTTTACCATTTTGCTGTATCAAGTACAAGGTTAGTCAAAGAATTTCTGATAAATGACTGAAGTAAAATTTTACTTAGGTATAGCAAGTAAAGGATAACCCTTCGGAGATGTCGTACTAAGAAGGTTTTAGCAGAAATACGTAAATGAAAGAAATTGTGTTATATTTAACAACCGGTTACGCTGATGCGGGGTCAATACCATAGTACAAAGACTCTACACCGGATGTAATTGTCAATCAAGCACGTGTGATCCCGCCTACTCTATTCTTTAAATAATCACTTACGAGTAGAGGATTGGCCAATCATATCACGAATAGCCGAAAACACCGCTTTTCCAGCCAATGAGATGATCGTAACGGGGAAACCCCTTGTGAGTCATGGCTTCAACGCGCTAAAACGACCAAGTGGAGCTCGAATGAGCTTAGTTTGCTATGATTTACAAATTCTCGAGGCGTAAAACTGTGCACTCAGTTAAGCAGTGTCTATTGAGTTCTGCAGTGCAAGATTCATTCGGCTAACATACCGAGGTATGGTAACCTCCATTCTTATGTCTCCTCATTTTATTTAATATTTTATTTTTTGCTTAAAGCGCTGTGGAGTCTGAAATCACGCTGTCGAGCGTCTGGCTCTTTTGGTGGGTTGGAGCTCAGACGCCTCTTAATATAACAGCCGTCCACTTAGTCCCAGAGAGGTCTTTTATAAACAAAACTGTTATAGACTCCAGTACGAAAGGTGGCCCTAAAAAAGGACAAATAGAATTTTCCCCCGCCGTCTACATTCTGAAGATGCATCGATTGCAGATCTTTCAGTCAAAACACACCTCGGGTTGTTTTGACACTAGAAAACACTACACCACAGTTTTCCTTTGTGCCCACACAGGATCTACACTCGAGCTAATTTGTCTTTCCCACGTATATTTTTAGCAGGAAAACATGTATACCTGACCTCCAAAAAAGTGTTTATACCATATCCGGTAACACAGCTCAACAAATAGATTGAATTTGTAGGTGTGAGTATGAACTAGAAAAGTGAATTTAATAAGAACTCGTGTTGGCCGGCCGTCTAGACGTAACTGTTCGTGTGAAATTTTTAGAATATTAATGAGACAAGAGAGTAATTCACTCTTACAATACTGGCACTGGTATTTCACAGTGAATCCCTACAAAATCGGCTTTGGGCTACGCAAACAACTTTCGTACAACACCAGCGAGCTAGACATAGTTATGCTGAACTTTTCAAGAAAACTTAAACAACGGCTAGTAACTGAATTTAAAATGAGAAACTTGTTTACAGGATTGACTGCTTACAAAAATGGCTGGGTGACAAGCTGGTATAATTTAAAACTACGTCACACATTAACTGTTTCGTGGCTTGCAGTCATTTCTTGGGAATTTAACTCTCCAAATGTGTCGAAGAAGCTTCTTCTTATTCCTTTATACCAACGTCTTTTTAAGTAAGTGTTTTGTTATTTCACAACGCTCTTTGAATAATACAATCTTAACCTGACCTTGGTAAGGTATTTGAACAAAATAAATTTGCAAAACCAGTTTGTTTTTGTTTATAAAAAGGCGGAATAGAGCCTTTGTATATTGTGAAAACTATGTGCTTGCTCTGATTCAATTGGACTGTGAATTTATCCATGAACAATGCCGGTTGTTAACAGCTAAAAAAAAAACAACTCAAAACCTTTGGAAGTAGTTGTTATCTAATTGTTTTTAGTCAAACTGCACTATTTGACACAATTCTGTTGGGGCCGTACGCAACAAAGATCTGAAGTTGATACCCATCTTCGATGTGGGCCCGGGTGTAATGTTTGCCATCCAAACGGCTTCCGATCCATTTCTTTGAGCACTAGACAGTGCATGGGTTACGGAGCGCATTCTTTTCTTTCTTAAAACACTGAAGCCTCTTTAATATATGCAACATTTTATAACTTGTACCCAAATCGGAGTGTCATTTCACCAAGTAATCGGTTAATGGTTATTGTCTGTCAGACTTGGACTTATGACATGGAGGTAGGCGGTAAGATGTGTTACGGATGGCTACCAACAAGGACAGCGGCGTTTTAATCTACTGCTTTTCATAATATTCTCCGAATCCTTTGACGAACGCTAGCCTAACACAAACGTGGGACTGACTTCATATACCACAAGTTTTAAGGCTGACGACTTTTAAAAGCTCAGTTCTTCACTTGGTAGACCTGTGTAAAAGCGTCGATGCCTGATATTCTAACACACTGGCTCGTCTTAAGAATAACATTTACCGCCCAACTTAATTAACCTTCCGAATTTTATTTAGCGCATTCCTCTTAGTCTATGTTGCGAATATGCAATACGAATACTTAATTTAAGAATGTCAGTAGTTTTACTGTGTACGCAGTTACAAACGCCTAATTTTCCAACTTAATAGTTAGAGCTCGTACGGCCGCCACTGAAACACCGCGAAAACTGCGATCATAAAAGGCATTCTAATCGTCTAACATAATGTTTGAGACTTAAATAGCGGATAGTCGTTTCAGTTGGGCTCAAATTGTCTTGAAACACAAGTTTGCTTTGTGGTTTTAAAATCTTTTTGCATCTTCCACAAGAGGTTTATAGAATTATAGATGCCTCACCAATACCGAGTTGGCTTTCGAGAACAGTCAGCGGTGAAATTGAATTGAAACTGGCGTGGCCGTGAGATCAACTGAACTACAAGTATTCGGCTTGGCAAAGTACGGGGCAGTAAAACTCATTGTACCATCTACTGCAGCTACCACAAGGCCAAATTATGGTACAACAAGACAGTTCGAATGTAAAAAGGAGCGAAATACTCGGGGATGTACATGCTCTGCTTTAAAAAAAAAACTTCGAAGAGTTGAGTCATTATCCGAAACATCCCGGACGCTGTTTTGCTCCTATAATTGTCTTCATATTATTTTAGTCAGTTTCAGCCTACTCGTTATTTATATTCGCACGCGCAGAGGTTGAATTTTTCCTCCGGCGTTATCTATTTCGCGAAAATGCTTTCTATTTCGTCGGCGGTTTCGGCGTGCCGTACGGTAAGGCCGATCACAGACGGTCGTTTTCGAGGCATTTTATTTCCCTTAAAGGGTTACAAAAAGCCAACCATCAGCAACTATAGATTAGAGTCGCATTAAATTTTTACCAACATTTAGTTTGTTTACCTATAATGATAATAATTAAAATGCAAATATACGAGCATTCAAGCGAAGGTTGTTGAGTGGCTTTAAGCTTCAGTTAAACAAGGAAAACAAACATTAATTCCCTTAAAAATTTAGCGATCTGAAAGCTTTCTCTCTAGCCACAGTGATTTCACAAATGATTTCAATTTCGGTCGTTTTGTCCTTGGAACTGTTAGAGCTTTATCGGTAACTTAAAAATCTCTCCAGTTTGGGAGTACAGTTTCACTGTGGAAAAATGTTTTTAAGTATCAAAGCTGAAGAGTTTGTACTGATTAAGGTATCTGTATAATTGCAGTTATACCAGAATTTCCTAGTTGTTCCCAGTGAATAACAAGGGCTTGGAAACAAAGGAACTTCTGAATCAGACTGATTGAATATTGATTAAGCCTGAAAACGGATTTTACCCACAATTGAGAATACACTTTAAAACTAAATTGGAGGTGACTGTGGTTCTGATTGCTGTCTTTTTTTTACAGACTTTCTCAGAACAAGAGCTAATAGAGGCAGCTAAGATGAACTACGAAGAGGTAGCAGAACTGGAGAATTTTCTGAATCAACCCTTTATTTCCAATCCCAGCGAGTCTCAAAGCTCCATGGAGATAGATGCCAGTCAAGTGGTCCCTGACCCGAATGGAAGTCAGTCTTTCAACGGAGATCCATCGCAACTGCTACCATCAGATTTAGCTTTCGGTGAGGGGCAAACCAAAGTGAGGAGTAGTAGTATGAGTTCTTGGAAGAGCTGCTCAAGCCTTACCTCTGGTTACGGTTCGGACCAGGACACTTTGGCCGGTTCACCATTGTATATGGATAATCCACCATTGTCTCCGGATCGTACCCTGGTTAATTTGGATGTCTTAGAGACGCTTGGTCCGACAGGTTAGTGTAGGAGCTTTTCCAGTTAGTGATGTAACAGAACTGCTACACCATATTACGTTATTACAGATCATGATTTACTTAACGGTGAAGTAATATATCATTGGTAAGGCTTACCAAAAATATATTACAGTTCAGTGACTTAGTCATCGGATTTAACCACAGCTCGCCCAAGACATTTCCTTTGTGTTTTCAGTGAAATGCCATTTGATATAAAAAAAAAAATTCGTTGTTACCATATATTAAACTTAACATTAAATATCTAAAACAATTTGCTCGCCATAAAAAAAACATGTTAGTTCGTGTACAAATGTAATAAACCATAATCAAAACTTGTTGAAAATATAGTCTAAAACTTGTCATTGCATATATATAACTTGTTAAAATATAAACAAGTCATATATATTTAATTGTGTAACAAGTTTTATGTATTGCTTATAAGTCATATATATTATCAGCTAGTTTTATATACTGCATGACCCGTTTAAATATTTTGAACAACTTCATTATTTTGTGCAACCAATTTATATTTAAAATCAAGAACGGACATTTTTGCACTAGTGACATGTATCATACGGCTAAAACTAAAATTAGAGTTTCTTGTAACAATTCTCTGGACTGTTAGTCAATACAAACTGCAGGGAACTAAAAGCGAGAAGAGTTGTTTCCCTAATTTTGCGAAACATTCGACTTTCGGCAATGAGTTTCTCGGTGATAAAATGTACGGTTTGATGTCGTAACCCATCAGTTCCTTCTCTTGGTCAGTTAAGTTTGTGATATGTCTCCCCAGTTTGCACTACTTTCATGCTTCTATTAGCACCTTGCTCTTACTGCCTTGCTTTGTAGACGTCTCTCGCTTGTTTCTTCAATATATAAGCAAACTGTCATTGATCAATTTTTATTGAGGAGACATTTTGTTTTGAAATATTCAGTTATGACTCTACAAAAAAGCAATGATTTTTTTTTATATATTAAGAAATGTAAAGGGCAAATTTTCTTCTAGTTATTCCTTCTCATGAGTTCAGATATGCAGTGGAACCTCGGTACCTCTATACAATGAAGTTCTCGGAAAAGCGATATATTTGCTTTTTGCCTGAGTAATAGTAAAATACATGTATGAGGCCGAAAAGAACTGATAACGAAACTTCGTGATACATATACTTTGCCAATCCCTTGGCCCTTCGTTATATTGAGGTTCCACTGTAGTGAAGGTACACCGAGACTGGAATCTAGAAACTATTAGACAGAGTCCTTACATGCAGGCAACTTTGTCATTGAGTGGTCGCTAAGAAAGACTGTGGGAACGTCAACAAACACAAGTGCTATGAAATACCAATCAATCAGTATTTCAAACGCCGGTGACCACTCAGGAAACAGAAGAATGAAAATCACGTCCATTTTCAAGATAAAAATTGAAAATAGTTAGACATATGTTTGGCATGATATTACGGTGATAATTAGCAGGCAGCTTTTAAGGAAACTTTTACGTAGTTTATCTTATATTTCCCACAGCCCATGCATACCGAACAGAATTTTACGCACATTTCTAGCATGTTGAAATGGTCTTTCTACCCAAAAGGAGCTAGAATCTTAGAGAACTTTCAACTTGCACAAGTACTGCGCCTACTGAACATGCATGAAGAGATTTCATTTGCATGGTCACAGGGGCACCCAACGAGGACATAGTTCAAAACCACTTAACATAGCATTGTTGAACGTATTTTAGTATTTAAACGGTAGATATAGGCATATTTTTATCCCCTAAAAACTTTTCATCTGTTCGAATTTCCTAGCTGAAAGTCTAGTGATCCGAAAATTATAGGGATCAAAACTTACCTTTTCGAAAATTTTAGCCAGGAAAAGGCTCCCGAAAGGGTAAATATACGTTTAAAATGGGTAATTATACCATTTTGTAGATGTTCGAAAATCCTAGGAGAGGCAGGCAAGCAAGAAATTTTACAACAAATGCTCCGAAAATTCTAGTTCTCAAATCGTCTTCCGAACAGATATTTTCCCGAAAATTGCCGTTGGGTGCCCCTGTGGTCACACCATACAGGATTTCCTGTATAGAAGTTATATTAAATGTTCACAGCATCTCTCATTACTATACTCACGCCCCGGGACCCACGCTAAGGACAAATAAAACACAGCTGTTTTACGGTGATTGGCTACAGCCGGTTTGGTTGGTATGTACAAGGGACAGTAACACCTCGCACGAATCAGTAAACCATCCCTGCTGATACTGATTTAGGGTATGTCCACACGAATCCGGATTTTTTATCCGGATTCGTGTAGACGGGACATTAAACCACTCTGAAGAGCGGTTTCAAAACAATGCGGTTTTGGTGACCGGATTTACTGGTTTCGTGTAAATTGAAGGCTGATTCGTGTAAAAAGTATTCGGTTTCAAAAATATCCGTATTTGAAGGGACGTGGCCTTTAGAAATGATACAATGGTGAGTCACACGAAATAGGATTTCTCCCACAGGCCTCACAGAGCGGAACATCTGCTACAACGAGATTTTTACTCAAATGTTTTTCAATGCTTGCATTTAGATATTTGAGTTTCGTTTATACCACAATCTAAGAGAAAGAAAATGATCGACGTCCCTGTGGTAATTAGGACGTTTGTGGCGGCTGAATAACCTGCAAGCACTTTTTCGATTCTTTTCCAGCTTGTAATTCAAAATCCGCTTCATTTACGCGTGGTATTTGGACTTCGGATTGAGGATTATGTAGCCGATCTAACTGCTTCGAACGAACTTTGCACCAGGATTAACATCGATCTCTTCGTTTTACATATGCCTAACATACGAATCAAACACCGTTCAAGTGAACAAGTGGTTTGGTAAAAGCAACTAGAATCTAAAATTCTAAAGTTGATATTTTAGTCAAGTACTGAGAACACAGTTTTGAGAACAGCCCTCTCTACTGTTTGTAACTTGTATTATTGACTAAATATTTGCTGACATCATTTAAAGGGCATGATTTGCATACCAAATCATAAAACAAAGGAATCGAAAGTGAACTATCTTCAGCCAGTCCTTTATTACCTACTTCCTCACTTTATCAATACTGTAGAAACAGCAAAAATAGCTTTTTTGCTCGTACATTCGCATGTGCATGTCTCAGGCTTGAAACGTGGAGCATGCCTTTGTTTAGTATTCAATCATCTTGTGCAGGTGGCCGGCGCTAAAACTAACTAATTAACCAACCCGAACTTGCTTATAAGTAAAGGTGGATTCTGACACGAAACGTTTTATTTTGGCGTCAAAACTCAATTGCTCTAAATTCAAACTTATCTAAATTGGGCCGGAGATTGGGCAGCTTTTACCTGAACTCCCTTCTGATTGGCTGCCAGAAGACCATCATTGTTTGCCGTGCTATGAAAGCCTGAATGGAAGTCCTTTGTTGTTTTACACGGAACGTTACTGAACCTACATACCCGCGGCTTATTGAAGCTGTTTCTTAACCTACGTTTTGGGGTATATTAACACCGTTTTCTTCTTAAACGTGACGGGCTGATTTTCAGTTTCATATCACAGACAATCCTCCGATTCATCCACTGTGTTTGCTCACCGTGATTATGCTTTGTGGTATCGCTGGCTTAAGACTTCCGTTCAGTATGATATACGGAATTGCTCAAGAAGTACAAGAAAAAACCCATATGTCTTGGAAGGTATCAGTTTATCTCAGTTCCTTTCCATAAAGGCAAGCTTTTTATATTCTAGTGCTGTCTTAACAGTCGAGGATTAAAGTTCTCGCAAACCGGTCGTTCGGACTTCCCCATATTTACGAGCTCGAGTATCTTTTGTAGTCGACTACAACACTCTCTTGTCTTTCCTTCTTTCTACGGAATCATACAATTGCAATTGCCTAAAATTTTATTTTAATGGGCAAGTACCAACATCTACCAAATTCCTTTACTAGTTGAGCACAGGTGGCTGTTAGTATGGAAAAATCCAAAAGAAGAAACCGGCTTGAGATTTTCATAGCCTACTACGTGGCATCTTTCTGAATTAACAGTACTTTAGGGTTTTCTAGACATAAAGCTTCTTATTCAAGAAAGTAGTGCATATTATACTTAGGCATTTAACAAAATGTGCGACCTAATCGGAGCCGTTCAGAGGACATTGTGAGCGTTGATGCAGGACCATGCAATTTGTTAAAGCGAGGATGAAGGCGAACATGTCCAAAAAAAATTTTCATTTGGAAAGCAATGAGGAGTTTCTATATTAAAGCAAGATGACCTCAAGCCTCGCTCTCACTTAAGAGTGGGATAATCAGTACACAACTGTTAAATGGTCTATTAAAGCCGACTCCGTTTGAAAAGTGAGTTAAAGGTCGCTGCACAGGTCTACCAACAAAACACTTTTGATCGAAAATGCAGTCTAATTTATCCCCTCTGATTAATGAAGCATGGTCGCACATAACGAGAAGTCATCATCATCATCATCATCATCATTATTTCTCTCCACATCAGAGGGCGAATAAAACTGTCATTATTATTTTTAGTTACAACTGCAAATATCCTTCAGGATTTTGTTTTCTCGTGTAAATTATGGTGTTTGTTAATATCGAGCCTTCACTAGGATTACTAACTAAAACTAAAAATTAAATGATTTGAATTATGGCAGCTGTATTCAAATGAGATTATCATGAAAACAGCCTATCAACTTACTTTTATTCACTGAAAATGACCTAAAGCTACTTCCGTTTAGTCGATACAACAACAACAACAAAATTGATGGCGGTCAGTCATGTTGAAGAGAGTTTTCATACCAAAAAAAAACTGTTTCCTGGTTTGTCCACAAGTTTTCACCTTACTCCACTTTCTGCCCAGATTTTTGCCTTTTCAAAATGGGAGAGGCAAAGGGTAGCAAGTGACGTCAGCCATGCACCTGCCTAGTGCTCATAACTTGGTGATAGTCTAAGGCCCCATCCACACTAATGCTTGAAAACGCATACATCTCGATGCGTTAAGGCCTTCCATCCATACTAATACCCTGAGCGTTTTCATCGAAAACGCATCGATTTGAAAACGCTCTTGAAAGTGGATCAAAACGAAAACTCCTACATGTCGTATTAGTGTGGAGAGTCGAAAGCGGCCGAAAACGCATCAAAATGAAAACGATGACCAAAAATATCACAGGCGCGGGTGTTTGTAGCATGTGTTTAGAGTTCAACTTACGTCACAACGTGCAATTCTATCGTTTTGGAACGTTTTGGTATGGACAGTCGAAAACGCATCAAAACGGAGATGTGGCGGCGAATCGATCCTTGCTTTTTCAATGACAAAGACCACACATACATTTGAAAGTGTGGACAGGGCCTAAAGCTATCCCAGATCACAGCTTATTTTCGATGTTGTTTCACGTTATAAGATGGACTATATGACGCTCTCCCTAGTTGTATAGTCAGAGTGAATTTGTTTTATCATGATCATCTAACGAATATTCTACCTTACAACCAAGCAAAGAAACAAACAAAATATAACGAAACCAAGAAACAAAAAAAAAATCAACAAAAAGTGCCGTAACGCTTTTTGTTTTGAGTATCAGGTACGGGGTTTACTCAAGGGCAGCAGTCCTATAGGCGTGTGGTTAAATTCGTATCTGAGGGGGCGGCAACCTCCTTCCCTGAAAACAAAAAACGTCAAGCTACAAAAACAACAACAACAGCAACAACAACAAATTTTATAACCAAAAGCCAAGACCAAATAGCGATTACGAAGAGAGAGACTAACATGTGTTAAACAACTTGAGATTTGAGTTCGTTGTTCTCTCTTTTAATTTTAGGAGTAGTCTCAAGCATAGTATACGATAACACGAGACATATTAACGAAAGAACAATTAAACATCCGATTTAAGAAAGAAGGAAAACTTTACGGAGCACTGAACACACGTCCGTCCATTTTGGTTAGCTCACGTGACTCGTGAAGAGTCGTGGTACAAAAATTAATGCGTTTAAGTTGCATAGATAGGGAACAGACCGGAGCCTCTCCTGGTACAAACCATTGCATGGACCTCCGAACTGGTTTTTCTAGGAACAAAAAAAGTCTAATATTAAAAATGGTTGCTTGAAACCCCCTACAAACGTAGATTTTCTCGACAACCTTACTGCGAACTCGTGCAAATGAAAGCAAATAAGAGACAAAATTATTCCTACCATTTTCACATGTTGGTTATCCTTTCTGAGGAATTTGTCCACGAAGACTGCATTCTGATATTATCGACATATATGATTTAAATAAAGCTTTCTTAATAATTTGATTCTTCAGCTGAGGCGGATTCTGGCGCAGACTGGATGACATGCTCACCTTTTACCTGGACCAAAGAACAAGTACAGTGCTGGTTGAAGTGGGCCTGGGACTACTATAACTTGCCAGGAGAATGTGATGCGGAGAAACTTGACTTGACGGGTGCCGAGCTCTGTGTCTATACCTTGGAGGAATTACAAAGTCGTTCAGAACATGGAGGTCTTCTGTATGAAGCCTTCGCCCTGTTGGATATTTCCCCACGGGGAGGTAAGAGGCTTCACTAGTGATGCGAAACTTGTGACGTGAAATATACCTTACCTTAGAATGGGATAATTCCCCACTCCAGAAATGTTAAGGGGGATGGTTACAACCTTTCGCGGTGTAACGATTTTTGGGATCTTTTTGGTTGACAAGCGTTAGTTATGATTGGGTTAATGGTTGCCTTGAATACCATCGACCAATCATAACTAACGCTTGTCCACCCAAACGACTGCACCCAAAGCTTGTACCCATTCTCCCTAAATTTTTTAAAGTGTGGAATAGGCCTTTTTAGCGATAGTTGATCAAGAGATCAACTTTCTGTAAACACGACGACTGTTCGCTTTTGACAAATTTTGTTTCAGGAACTGAAAACATTTTAGAATTAGGTAATTTTCAGCCGTATATCTCAAAAGTAGCGATTGCAACGGCAAAACAACTCTTGCCAACCAGTCACGTCTGAATTGTTTTCCGTACAATTCCTTGTAAATTTCGAAATTTTCAAACTGTCGTAAAATGTTTCCTTCAGCATTAAGGGTTTCAAATCTCCTTCTTATTCAAAAGAGACAATTTGAGCCCTTAAAATACGTAAGGAAAAGATTTAACGACAGTTTTAAAATTTCAAATTACTAGCAGCATATATAAACAAAAGGACAAACGTTTATTTGTTCATAACTCCTATCCATCTGCGTTATTACCATTTAAATACCCTAATTTTTAATTTTCTTTTTTTCCCAGATAATGGTACCTTCTGTGAAGGTAGGTTGGAGCATTCTTTTTGTTTTTTGAAAATACTTGACTATTATGTTACCTGAATATTTCACTGGTTCCACAAAAAAATACCAATATTGACTTTCATCACATTTTTACAGGAAAAGTTGAATCATCAAGTGATGATTTCGATCGTATGCTTGCTATGCAAGGTAACGTTTTTAATTGTATTATATAGGTGTATATGTTTTTTGTCCAATACTTGAACTCCATTTGGTTAAAACCATTTACTGACTTTAGTCTACACTACTCTACTCTACTTTACCCTATAATACCTTACCCAACCCTACCCTACCCTACCCAACCCAACCCTGTCCTACCCTACCCTACCCTACCCTGTCCTACCCTACCCTATACTACCTAATCCAACCCTGTCCTACCCTACCCTAACCTACCCTGTCCTACCCTACCCTATACTACCTAATCCAACCCTGTCCTACCCTACCTTACCCTACCCTACCCAGTCTCTATAAGCAGGGTATCAGGTATCTGTCTATGCCATGCTGATGAGTCCTAACAAGGACAAAACAGCATATGGTTGTGCGCATGCGTAAGGTAATGGCCATACCGCAGAGTTGGTAGTGTGTGCTTCAGTGCATAATTGTGGTTAAGTTTATCGTTACCGGATTATTGTTGAGCAGGAGCCCACAGAAAAGAGAGCTTTGAACCACTCAGTATATTCTTGAAATCATAGTTCCTGCTAGTTCATCGTGTGAAACCATTTATCGCTTTTCTAAAACAAAAACTAGTTAACCGGCATTCAGGCTCTCATGATGGACTCAAACAGACAGGTATGCTCCCCCAAGCGAGATGACAGGTTTTTCCCGTCTCCAGGGTCTGGATCCCGTGTTCCCGCCTCTTTTTCCGAGACAAGAATCTCGCATCCCGCACTTCTGTCATCGCTATCCCGAATATCGTTTTCTTTCCCAATACCGAAGCCGTGCCCAAATTTTGGCAAATCCCGCTTCCTGGGTAGCAGTCAAATCTGTATCCCGTTAACGTTTCTCGAATCCCGCACTGTGTTTTGGCCAAATCCCGGATTCCGGAAATACCCTTCTGGGCCATGTTTAAAATGAGAATCCACTTCGAAAACAATTCATTTTTAAACAAAACTAACCATGAAACTAAGCTGTTATTAATGAAAACCGATGATTTAACAGTCAAAGACTAACATAGTGTGTTGTTTTTTTATTGTTAGATCCCCTAGCTTTTGCCCTTGATGAACTTCCTATGGAAGGTGAGAAACAGTCTATACACATATTTTTATACCGAGTTTTATAGCATCGTTAATATGATTTGCAAAAGAGGCAGATGAACCGGTACAAAAGTCAATGTCTCAGAAAGGCATGACAGCAAGATGCCTGGCACATCTCTAGCACTGTCTTTACGATAGAGACCAGTGGCCAGCCACCATTGAAGGGATAGGGACCCCACCTTGTATATACCCATAGTTTAATCATCGATCTTAGAAAAAGGAGACCCATGATAGCCGACCTACTACTAGTACATGGCACTTGATGAGGAGTATGATTTCCAGTTCCTTACGGCGTTCAGTTTTATTAGGGTTAGGGTAAGATTGGTTTGGTTATCTTCTTTTCGTAATAAAGATGTTTTGCTTTTCAGAAATTTTCAAGGCATCCCCCTTTGATGGTGAGTAAAATTTTTTCAAAGTTTAAATATTTCTTTGGGTTTGTCAGTTGAGAGCCCCGTTTAAAGTTTCAGATAAGATAATTTTTTTAGTTCAATCTAGAACAGTTAGCAAACACTCAAAGATCCCAAATGAAAATGTAGGAATCAGATTCCCTTGAAAGGACTAAAAGAAGGACTTGTTACCAACAAACGTATAACCGAAATAACCGATTACAATTGAAAATTGTGTAATTCGCACAAGTTGGCAGTATATAAACCAAATTGGCCTCATATATTTCGCAAAAAACCTTGATTTTTAACCGTAATTGGACGTTTCACATCCAAACTGCGCCTTTGAAGAAAACGTGCTCATTCCAGTTCAGTGCCGCGTGACACCCAAAAAACTTAGTAGAAGCCGGTCTTTTTATACGGGCTGTAAGCTGTATTTGCAGCAACAGTGATGAAATCAGGCCTTCATTAAGAAAAACGATTTTATGGTTTTCATCAACAGACTGAAGCCGTGAAGATAGGCTGTTTACTGTCGGTTTCCATCCCAGGTTTTCCGACATTAGACAGGACAATCGGTAGCCTGCGCGCAGACGAAATTAACGCAGTCTAGACAATCGGCGGTTTTATAAAATAAAGAGGAAGTAAAAAACCCTCGACTCTATTTTTCAGATAAGGTATCCTGTTACCTAAAAGAAAAGTTGACATAACGGAGTTTGGCCAGTTGCGAATAATGACCGAATACTGCGTTGAACATGACCGGAAATTTGCGTTGCGTCGGGAAACGTTCGCATTTTCCCGTTTTATGTATTCCTACCGGATCATTGAAAGAACTTGACTAGTACAGTCGTCGTTTTGAATCTTCCAAACAGATAAAGAGGAAGCCAACATTACTTAACTTGCCTTACGCACTGTGATCGTGCAAACAATCACCCGCTTTTGAGAGTGAGACCCTTTGGTCGTGGGAAGATTTGCAATCGTCTGTTTTTGGTCCTTTCTAAATCAGGGTCAATACTACAACTGTTTGAAGCAAGTTAGAACAAAAATCAGCGGCGTGTGAAACAAAAGCCGAAATAGGCGAATGCTCATCTCGCAGGCCATGAAAATAAGATCTACGCGATTGAAAACCGATGACATGGAGTGAAAGAAACGTCATTAAACATAACTATCGTTGAGTTTTACCTTCAATTCAAGTCCATTATGGCTCTTGCTTCAATTGATTTTCTTAAAGCAGTCTGTTTTTCGTTGATGCTGACAATAGCAACAACGCTAAAATAATAGCATCAAACAACTTTGCTGGTTAAAGAACTTTTGAAATTGTAAGTTGCCATGGCTACAGCATAGCTTGCGGAAAACACCCTTAATTTTAGCATTAGGTACGTGCTTATATCTAACCGATCATAAGATCACGACCGATGTGGTCAATGACCCCTGTTCTTTATGTAATCATTCAAGTACATCTTTCTCATAGAAACGTTTCCACAGACCCATCTTAAACTATCGAATAACCTGAATGCAAACTCTGAGGAAGTCAGTTACATTGTCCACTATTAAATCCATAGCAGAGAATTTTAACGGTGATGTAGGAGTGAGGTGAAATTCTCGCAAGTTACTGTTTTAGACTTGATCTAAGGAAAATGAATGGGTCATTTAGTCCACTGTGTAGTATCAAAAGTTTTGACACTGGTCTTGGAACTTCAAAATGGGTGTCTGTAATACCCACGTAGTTACGTACGTTCGTCTGCCAGTGCGAGGGTGTATCGTGAGAACTTGCTTAGTTATCACCCGTGTTTCATATTTAATTAGTTTTTTCGCGAGGTCCGTTTGATTGTTTTAACGAAGCAGAATTCTGCATAGCCAATGTTTTTACTTCACGGAAAGCTTTTATAACCATTTTCAATTACAGTGGTAGTCAGATAAACAAAGTGATCAAGCTCAGACAGCATAGAAAAATTCCAGAATGATGATTTTGACGTCAAGACGAGCATCCCCCGCAATTATTTCATCATTTTTATGTTATTTGACAGTGGCGTATTTTTAAAGGTCACATTTTTGCAGGAAACAAAGCATAGAGATATTTCAAATTCCTTGTTTAATTGAGCCTTAATTCTATATCTTTCCGCAATGCAAACACTAGAATATAGTGAAGGTTTTCTCAGCTTCCTCGTGGCTATCATCTGTTTTATCCAGCGTAAAACAAAACTAAGATACACACGCGCCTCCGGATATAAAGACAAGAGACTATTGAACTTTGATCAAAAGTTAGAATAAACGATGTGGATCGGGACGTATTATTCAGTATTAAAGAAGCTCCTTGTGATCGAACAAAAATAGTAAATGTGTTAAATTGTTTCTCGATAAAATCGTTTGTCAAAGTTGGATGACTAAATCACTGAAAACAATCTCTTTTATTATAATTTTTAAAAAATAAAAAGCATCAGTTTCCGCATGACTTAATTTCCTCATCGATAACTGCACGTATATCACGCCAGTGGAAACCACGTGACCCTACAGGCCGAAGTGTGTTGGGGCGTGGGTGTACCTGACGCGCCCAGGTTGATTTCAATCACATCTACAATCTTTGCAAAGGAAATAAATGCAAAAAAGTTCGAGCGGCTTCTTGAATAGTACCTCGAATACACTCTGCGACGGTTTTTCAGCCGCTCAAATGCACGCAGCCGTTCTCTTCTTGCCCAGAATCGGCAATAATGCAAAATTAAAGTTCAGCTGTAACAAACAAGCAGAACAACATTCCTTTGTTTCCGCAAGGATACTGGAGCGCGCAACTCTGTGCTTTGTGACACACTTCCGGGTGTAGTGGATTTAGTGCCTTGTGAATCGCTATTCTCTATCACGGACACTTTCTGATATTCGTTCTTTATTGTATTGGCCATGACTATAACCAGTGATCTATTGGAAATTGCGAAAAATTCGCTTTTGAAACCAAATTACTCGGGCGATACAAATTACAGCTTGCTTATTTAAAAATGCAAATAATCTGTCTTGAATGTCTTGCTACGTAAATAGGCAAAACGTGAAATTGAATCTCATAACCGCTCGAACTCCTGACGGGGTAGTACTTAGGCTAATTTGTTTCTATACCTGTTTCTCTTCCTAATTTTCAGATAAGCTATCAGATTTTTCCATTACGAATTTATATACTTTTAAATTCTTCTTAGAAGCTTTGATTACTAAGCCGAACGATTCTAATTAGGGAAAGCCAGGCTAATGTAATGTTTGACAACTCTCTCCCCCCTCCCCTGTGTGAATTTTCAGTTATAATCTGCAGCATATTTATCGGTGGTTCCGTGGTTTGCTCCTGCAAGTTGAGTTACTAACAGGCGACCTTTCCGCTAGCTATTCAAAATCTGAAAATGCCTTATTACTGTTCTTTGAGAATATTTAGCAAGGAGAAAAAGAAAAGGCGACGACGAAGAGGTAAATTGAGCCGATTTGAGTGATGTTTTTGCGAGTATTAGCTACGATTGTTTGCGTGAACTGGTCGTACGATAATTTGAACTTTTATGATATATTTACTGTTGGCCGCCGTTCATTACTTTAGTTTGATAAAAGTGTTAAGGTTAGAATTATAACTTAAAGCTAGCTGTTCGCGCTTTTCTTGCTTCGGAATCATTGTCTGCCTTTAGGATTACATCTTGGAAGCCGAGACGAACGAGACGTGAGTTTGTGGTGTAATTTACCAACCAAGCTCCTTTGCTTCCTCATCGATTTCGCCTTTTTCAGCTCTTGCCTTTCACACATTACTAATGATTTTAGCTCCAACTGACGAACCTAAGGCTTTACTAAAACTTTTTTGTTTATGTAGCCGCACAGAAGCCCATTTGTATGCTCTTACAACGAATGAAACCAGCAAAGTTGTTCGTTTCCGCGCCGCTGACGCGCCATATCCAGCGAAGATGCAAAGCGGGCGAATCGAGTAGCTACAGCCATCTATCGCTATTTTTACCGTCTACTCTAAGGAGATTCAAAAAGTGAATGATACAAAAACCTTCATTGTTTCTTAAGGGCTAATAATCTTCTAAGATGAAAGTTAAGCGACGAATTAGGGCACTATACGTTTGTGAATATGTGTTGAAAGTTTCTGTGTCGGGCGGTCTGTATTGGCAAAACATACCAGAAGATAGATCATCTCGACATATTTTCTGTCGAGTAATTATTACGCGACTCTGCTCTGCAGCTCGCGTTTTATAGCGTTTGAAACTTAGCTAAAATACCCATTTTTATTCATACAGAGAAGTTTTACAACGGTCTTATGTAACATTACCAGCTACACGATTTTGTTCTGAATGCCTGCCATTGCTTTCCGCGTTGCGGGGCGCTATGGTTTCCACTCACTCGGCATTGAAATGAACTAAAGCACGCACATAAATAATTTTGTTGTGAATTTGGTAGACAATCCCAGGTTTAATTCCTTTTCTTTCTTCTTTCAGACGAAATGAATCTTACAAATGATGACTCTTCTGTACCAGAAAGGGATGATCAAGGTAGGATGGCTGTTCAAAGAAAAAAAAAATTATTTGTCACGTAGCTTTGAGTCAGCGCTCAGAGTCAAGGTTTAATATTTCCGGGAGCAAAAACAGCTCTCTCCAAGTTTCTTCCGGGAGCGTATTAAAAGCATAGCGCTCTTTGTTTGCTTAAGGTTAGACATGTTCATTATGGTTAAATGATCGTAGTTAACTGACTTCAGTTGTTTTCGCGAAGGGTATTTGAAAATTTCTTTGTGTTTTAACCACAAAAGAGATAAGTTATCCTTCCTTGGTGTGTAATTATTGAAAGGTCCCCTGTCTACCTTTTCCTGTTCCTAAGTTACTAAGCATATCTTCATAATTTCAAGGAAATAAATTGAATACCCAGCTAATATTTCGTTCAAGCGAAATATTTTTCGCGTTGTTTTCGTTTTTACTGTTGGAAGGTTTAGCAGGAAATATATGTGCGATGATATGGCTTTATTCCCAGTCGCTTTGCTTGTAAATTGAATTGTGCTTTCACAGAATTTTCAAGTTGTTGCTGTAGGAATAATCATTGATCAGTGTTGTATTTTTATGAGTGATTCTTGTTGGGCTATGCCTGCTAGCAAAGTAATTCACTATACACACAGCGCTGACAAGCACTATTAATTACACAAGTTGACGAACGCTCACTTCACAAGACATAAGCATTCAACACTTCCTTTTGTGTTGTATAGCCAAGCTATTACTTAATCGTCGAAACTTGTAATAAAGAAATACAACCCAAAATAAAAAATACGGCAGGTTTCTCCTTTGTTCAGTGGAAGTAATCCAAATAATGTTCCTGATATTAGAACATGTTGAAGTTGACAGAGTAAACATAATTTTGCAAGCCCCTCTGAGTTATTCAAAATTCAGGAAAAGAAATTTTAAGGTCATAAAAAATTTACAACTCGTTTCAATGCGTATCTAATGCTGCACTGTAGACTTAACAACGGCAAACAAACAAATTAAAAGACTTCGCTGAAGTAAACTCAGTAAGGTTTCCGTGTTGTATTCTATAACATCTATTTCCTCGCTGATATAGGACGCACTGTATTTTGTCAGGTTTAAACTAAAGGTTGGGGTTAGAATTTCCTGAAAGTTCTTAGATATCTGTCTCATTGAAAACATGGCTCCTTTCCAGAAATGTCTTCCTGTTAAATTGCAGGCTTTCTGAGAAAAAAAAAGTATATCCTCGTGCTCCTAAAACTGGAAAAGTGCCTGGAGGAAGTACATTTGCCTTGCACATAATTTATTGCCTAGTCCTATATCTGTTGTAATGAAGATTTTTTCTGACAAAAGCTATTCTTGGTCTAAACAAAGGGTCTTGCATATTAAACGGTTTTTAAGACCGTTATACAAAAAGAAAAAAGTTTAGCATTTATCAAAAGCAATTTTTGCATTACAAAGGTGTTGGGTCCTCCCTTGAGGAGCTAGTTTCCATGGTAAAGTAGCTTTCTTTTCCACAGAATATTTTTTGGTTGTGATGCAAGGGGAGTTCGAACTTTAAGTTTGTAAAGTGAAGTATTGCCTGAAACTGTATGTTTTTTAAAGATATATCATTATGAAAAAAAAATTGAGTTCACAGTGGGTGGTAGTGTTTTGTGATCCTTCCCAATAAGTCTACCCTATTTAGGTTTTGTAAAGATTCTTTGGAGAAGGGTGGTAGTGTTTTGTGATACTTCCCAATAAGTCTACCCTATTTAGGTTTTGTAAAGATTCTTTGGAGAAGGCAAACTGTTCACATTTTGTTGGTGTTTTTGTAAAGATCAAGAGTAGAAAGTGCAAGAACAGTAATGAGAACAAAGTCTTGAGGCAGATGATTCTGTTTAGGAATCGCAGAATTAACATCTGCTTACTAACTAAGATGAGTGTGGCAAGACAAATCTTGTTATTTCCAAAGACTATATTTTTACTCCAATTTTTCAAATGTCCTTGAAAATAGAATGTTGAGTTGTAAAATGAAATTTTAAACTGAGGTCTGTGGAGGTATACTATGCTGGATGTAGTGGTGTTCGAGTTTTATCAGAACTTTCATTGTTTGTCCTGAAAATAAACTTTATAGAAGCGAGCTTCAAAAATAATAATAATCAATGAAGATTAAGGTTTGAAAAAATGCCAATCTGCCATAGTATTTATTCACCTTCAAACTTCAAATTTGTCGACGGCGGTTTCTTTGATGCTTACCAGAGCATTTTTTTCCCGGTTTCTTCCTCGAGAATCTAATAGCAGATATTAAAAATGAAAAACGCGGAAGTAGATTCGAGGGGAAAGTCGAGGAAGGAAAATTTCATTGCAGCTTCATAGATTTTTCTTCGGCCAAAAATATTTGTTCAAGCGGCATTTCAAAGAGTTTTGTGAATGACTAATGTCCCTTTATTGTCAACTCATCAGTTCATTTGAAGGCTTTTCGTGCATTTAATAAATGTATTTTCAGATAGTTACCGACGATGTGATGTGAGTGGTATTGCAGAAGTCACGAGATAAACACATGAAAACCGATTTCATAAGCGGGCTAAACAACTCCCGCGTGACACTCACGAATCAGAGCTTTGCGTGACAGTAAGTCACATACAGCTCCCACCGTCGACTCATCACTGGCCCCCAAAACCATCGATAAAAAGTAACACAAGTCCGAATTTATATCGGAAAGCCTTTCACCCGCATAGAATACAGAAAAGTCTCAAAGTTTACTGTGAAGAAGAAATCTATGAACACTGGAAAACGCCATTGAATTACACGTTAAATGCATTTTGTTCAGACCAACCCGGCGGTCGAGGTTTTGAACGTAGGTTGTACACTTCTGCTGGTATTAAAAAAATCAAACAAACAAATTAACAATTAAATCGATTTGCTGCGACAGCGATGGCAGGACCTTGCGGTGTGTAGTAAAGAAAAGAAAGGTGTTCGTAAAAATGTGTCTTAAATATGGAGAGACTTTTTAGGGATTATTTTGTGAGACCTTGCAATCACTTTTCTGGAGCATAAGTGGAAGTCAAAAAGCGTAAGCTGTAGTGTTCCACTCAATTCATATCCTTATAGACCCAGGGGCAACTGGCCGAAAGTGCGTGATTTTCGTGAAAGAAATTTTTTGCCAAAGTATGTAGTTGTTCAAAATTTGCAGATTTGAGTGAATGTTCGTGATATCGGTCCAGGGTGAAGAAGCAGTCGTACGAAGGTATAGGCTTCCGACATTTTGGCGCTTTTGCTTGTGATACTGTATTGGAATAATGAAAGAAAGACAGTATAAGATAGGTTATAAATAACCTCGGGGTTGCAGGTGAATCGCAACGTCGCAAAATTGTCGTGTTTTTTGTGAAACTTCGATACACATTGGTAATTTTCTAAAGACTGTGGTTCTAGAAGGAATGTTAACCTCTTCGTAGGCTCTTTGTGTTAACTGGGATATTTTTATCTCGTTATTTATATTTACAATTTATAATGATATTAAAACTTCCGTATATGAGCCGTAGGAATTCCACTGTCAACTAAGATGGACCAAGCGCTAGGTTTTTTTCGTCGTAACTCAACCCGAAATACTCAGATACTTGCTTCCCTTTGCTATCTTCTTAACCTATCTTCTTAACCTATCTTTAGGCAATAGTGAAAGCGACGAAGAGGACGTGTCAGTCCCATCGCTCAGCTCACAAAACAGTGCCTTCGGTAAGTCTATAATTATCCTGACATACTATGCGCTGCACTATCAATTTCCTCATTCGGTAATGGGTAAATTGAAAAAAAAATATTAGCAGTAAATTGATTAATATTAATTAGCCATAAGTTAACTAAAACGCGAAATTGAAAAAAGCAATTAGCTGTTTATTCTCCAAGCCTCCTAGTTTTTCAGGTGAAACAGGTGTTCGTTGGGCGTTATCGCAGCGTTAACAACCATTTTTTTCGAGAAGATTGCAGAATGTACGGTTGCAAATTAACAGCAGAATCTTAATTACATCTTCAAGAAATTTCTTTCAGATTCAAATTAGACCCTTATACAAATTCTTAGTACTGAGCTCATTATCATATTTTTGCTCCGTTGTCTAATATTTTTATCTCGTTTATGTTAAAAACGTTTCGCAATTCAGACTATTATTTTGAGCTTTTCGTCGATTTGACAAGATTTGTATCCGCACTGGAAACCTTTCCGACGGATGAGCAAGAAAATAGTTAAACAAGAGATAATTCAAAAATAACACACCGGAGAAAATCATCCCCGCTGTGCACCGAAACTAGATTCAATGGAAATAACAACTTTGAGGTCAGAGCGACTAAAACTAACGCAACTGAAGACTTATTTGTTTAAAGCTGCCGCCGAGGAAGGTAATTAACATTTACCTGGGCAAGGACACGCAAGAATCGAGAAGCGTCTGTGGGAGGGGCGCCCGCTGCTAATGCATGTGTTGTTATTAAATTCTCTCTCGGGATCAATTTTATTTCCTTTGTTAATGGCTGTCCTTGTGGGTTAATTGAACTGATCATTTCCCTGACTTGGGGCTAATTGAAAATGACCAGTCTTTTCGGGAAGCACTGCGGAATAGTTGGAACCAGAGATTACATCCAAAGATTCAAAACTTTGAGATACCGCCATTACATTATTTTTTTCACTCTTACCTTTTTAGCTCCTTCCAGGAGTCACGTGACGGCGACAGGCACTCGTGGTCCCTTGCCCAGGCCCCAGCCGAGTAAGTAGTATTTGTTTGCGTCTGTTTAGTTTAGTTTAGTTTGTTCTTTCCTCGTCATAGTGGCAAGGTGGACACAATACAAAACTGTTTAGAGACCTTTAGGGCCTGTTTACATGGAGTGGGGGACCCCGGTCTAGTGGAGTTGGTTTCTTTTGTTTTCACGCTCTGGGGAACACAAAACAAAAGAAACCTACCCCACTAGACCGGGGTCCCCCACTCCATGTAAACAGGCCCTTAGATTCGAGGACGAGAATGACTACGAATACGAGATTTAACTTTAATTTTTTTTCGCGCCTTCTCAAGAAATAGACACCCCGAAAGCTTCATTGTATTTTGTTTTCTCCAGAAAAGTTAGCACTGTTATCTTTATTGAAGGAGGTTCAGTCCTCTACCGATCGCAAAATGAGAAAACTTCTAACATTTGATAACTTGTTTCCGCCTCTGCGACATTCTTGCGAGAACTCGTAGTAGAATGACGACTATCACATTTTCCCGCCAAAATGACGCTGGTTTACGCGCGAGCACTACTTAGTATTTGGAAAATCTCGTACTTGTAGTCGCTCTCATCTTAGAATCTAAGGCTCTCTTTTGACTTAAACGAACATACTGAAAATGACCGTTCAAACCAGTCACTGTTTAATCTATAACGAAATGGGTACAGCCGCCATATCTGACTTGGAGACATGAACGTCGTTTCAAGAAAGTCAAATACCAAGAACCGAATTTCTTAATCATTTGATATTTAAAAATAATAAGCCAAGGTTCTGCGCCTTGCATTAACTCTTTAAGTTGCAATAGTGACCAACATCAATTTTCTCGTAACAATATCCATTTTGTCAAGAGGAAAGTCTATGAGAATTTATAAAATAATCACAGAGAAAAATCTTTCATCTTTTATCAAATTCTCTCAACAAATTTTTTAAGGAAATGTATGGAGATCAGTATGGAGAATTTGTATGTAGATGTTAGGACTTAAAGGTTTAACAGTGTTCCTTGTTTTATCCACTAGTTCGCCCGTTGAACATCCCCAGAGATCTACCTCTGCATTCTGCTACTCAGCAAAATCCCACAGCCAATGGATTCTGTGCTTCCCGTTTGTGGCCACCAAACGGCTGTTTTCCACCCTGCGTTCCCCCACCGGTAAATGGCTTTCCTCACCCCCGGCTTCCCCAGAGGGGACCCATGGATTTGCAACGAAATCGCGACCTCCCACCGGTTCCGCCGCTGATCAAGTCTCCCGATCTGCCCTCCCCGACAAGTCCCATGGAGAACTTCCCACAAACCCCACTGCAGACGCTTTCGTTCGCGGCGAGCTTATTCGCCAAAAACGATGCGTTGTTTGACGTTTCATCGTCACCATCCAAGAAGGAAGAGCGCATGACGCGTGGTGGGCTTTACGATGAGCCGTTCTCTGCCGGAACCCCTCCTGCAAACGGTTTTTCTCCCCCGGATGCCAAGAAACCCAAACTAGATTTTGATGTGCATTCCAAGCACAGTAAGATGGCAGTTAATGGCGGGGTGCCCCCACCTTTGAGAGCATCACCAGGCGAATCTCAGGTGCCTTTCCCTGCGAATCTTTCACCAAAATCTTGTCCAGACAGTGATGCGGATTATAAAGAAGAGAGAATGTCCCCGTCCCCACCGGCATCCCCCTATGGACATTCAACCTCACCCTCTCAGAGAGGCTGCGATTCTCCTATGACGCGTAGAAGGAACAGCACCAGTTCAACGGACTCCGGTACAGAAGAGGGGAAGGATGGTAAGTTGAGGAACATTGTAACATGTTAATTAATTTGATTTCACATTGAAATGTAATTGCTCCAAAGGAAGTTGTGCCAGTGGTTGTCTTATCTCGTTTTGCAGTCAGGCCACCTTCACACCGAACGAATACGGATACTTTTGAAACCGCTTATTTTTTTTACACTAAACCTTCCGTTTACACGAATTGAAACCACTCTCTAGAGTGGTTCACTTACTATGGAAAGACTCGTGGCGAGTCAAGCCATTTGCCAGGTTCATTTGTGGCACAACTCCTTTGTTTCAGTGAGAATAGTTATCTTCAGTACTTTTGCTGACTCCTAATGTACAGCTTTTGCTAATTGAAGTCCTTATTCGTCCAGGAAACCACAGCCGGAGCGAGTCTTCCTCGCCGAAGAGTTCCGGTTCACCAAGTGGAAAACCTCGCGTTGGCCGGAGAAAGCGTAAGTGATTAAAATGATGTTACTTTCAATCGTGCCCGCGCTTGTAAAATGTCACGAAACTTTTCCTATTCATTTTAGAATTACAATTAAAAAAATGTTATGGTTAGCTCTCTCCTAATAGTCACCTGTATCAGATAGAGACTTAGAAACGTTCCCAACGGTGTTCGTCTCAAAGACAGGTGACTGTAGTTTTCTTTTCTATTCCGCTGCCAAGCCGCACGATGCTTATGAAAACTGCCGGTTTTTTAGATGGTTATTTAAACCCCCAAAGCTTACCACATGTCATCTCTTTTCGTTTCAGAAACAAGATCCCTGCACTTGTGGGAATTTCTCAAGGAGCTTTTGGAAAACAAGGAGACGTGCCCGCGATACATCACTTGGATAGAGCGAGAGGAAGGAATCTTCCGACTGGTGAACTCGGGCGCGGTAGCTAAGCTCTGGGGTCAGCGGAAGAACCGCCGAAACATGAATTATGAGAAGATGAGTCGTGCTTTGCGGTATTACTATGAAAGGAAGATTCTAGAGCGGGTGCCCGGTCAGCGGCTGATCTACAAGTTTGCCCCAGACACTATGAGAGAGTGTAACTTCAGCTTCATGAAGAAGGATGGCTGACCTTGGTCTGTTAGATATGCAGAATGTTTTTCCAGTAGTTTGAACTTAAAAACGATAATTTTCAACTTGCTAGAGACATCAGTGAATCATCTCGAACAACCGTCAAATCCGGGAAGTGTTGGTTAACCTAGGTCAACGTATCAAGCCGCGGTGTGGTCAAATAAGTAATGTCTTGGTCGAAAAGAGCGAATCGGCAGTTCTTAGTCGACGGGAAGGAAATTTCTCGACTATAAGATTGCCTCTTCCTCTTTATAAACCAAATTTATATTTGAGGAGGAAAATCTGAGTTGAAAGGTTTCGTTTTTGTTGAAGTGCGGGACGGATGCCGACTTTACTTGGACCGCGGGCGATCTCTCTTGTTTACTCAAGAGTTGTACGCGGTGAGCGAAAAGTAAAATTATGCAAATTAATGGAAATGTAGCGGAGAGAGGAAAAAGGACGACCGCGGCTTAATTATTCTTTGCTCGGGCTTCCGCCTACGTTCCTCGCGGCTTTGCCGCTCGCTCCTCACGCGCGCTCGCCCCTGTCTCGCGTTCTCGATCTAATGTGACTCAAGAGAAAATTAAGAGACTGCTCGCAGTCTAACTTATCGCGAAGACCTTCCAACTCTTCCGTGCGAGTCGGATTGGGCCGGTTCAGGCAATCAAACCAGCCTTGTAAGCAAAAGGTGAATTCCCTGATGTCCAAGCTTAATTCTATTTTCTCAAACATATTCAGATATCTGTACTGTAATTAGTAGATATACAGTCAGGTTCAGAATTTGTTTGGGATAACTTTTCAATACCGATAAGTCTTAAAAACTGTAGAGAAGTGGTTACCCAGGCAGCGAATTCTCTACAAGAGATTTGTCTTGTCTGGAAGGGTCATTTCTCATGCTCAAGGGAGGAAAATGTTTATTATTATGTTAAAAAGACTGAAAGAAAAACTTAAAAAAACAACGCCTCAGGGGCGTTGTCTAAATCAACTTGTTAGCGGTCCATTTCAACCAAAGAATCAACTATTTTTGCGCCATTATATATATTGAAGGTTTGATATTTACTGTCTTATAATACGCTTTTGTTACAAAACTGTAATATAGTACTGGATCACTTGCTTACTCCTCATCAACGGACCAAATAGTATATTAATAATGACAAGGAATCACTTCATTCCTACTTTCACCAAAGGCAGTAGTTAACCCTTTAAGCCCCAGTATCTTCATACAAATTCTCCCAACTGATCTCTATGCATTTCCGTACTGAATGAGCTGGGAGAATTTGATAAAAGATCAGAGCATTTTTCCTTTCGTGATTATTTTATTAATTCTCATGACTTTTTCTCTTGATTGTGTATTGATCATCTTGGGAGAAAATTGATGTTGATCACTCTTGGGACTTAAAGGGTTAATTAGTCCTTGCACCCTCAGTGGTTTTCCATGAGACTGGCATTCGTGTGAAAACTAAAATGGGTCAGAGTCAGATTTTCAAACCCTGTCACCCCTAAACCAAGCCATGGAGAGATTATCTGTCACTTCAACTTTTAAATCTGTGGACCAAATCGTATGTTACCATTCAAATGAAACATCTTTGTCAGCACTTTTTCATAGTACTATTTATTTCTAGGGATTTTACAAAGAGAAATTTGAATTCTTTTAAGGGTGACAGGGTTGAGGCTGTGGACCCGTCTTTTGACTTTCATATTGTTTTTGCCAAATTCTCAACTCTGAATGAGTTCATTTTGGAACCATTCAGGGGTTTAGGTAGTCAAAATAGGCTCCATGTGATTTTCGTTCGTGATAAAAGCTCCTTGTGTTTTCTACCAAGAAGTAGTATGTCTTCCCGCCCTTTCGTGTTTTTGTCGTCAAGTAGGGGTGGTGGCGCTATATTCGCTGTGTTTGCATGGTTATAAACAGTTTTTTTAAAATTATGCATTTGTACTTATTCATGTAGGTATGGCTCCTTCTCCAAAATTCATTTTCACAAGTCGAGGTCTTGTGTCCAAATAACGATTAAAAATAATCTTCGATTCGTTACGACATTGTCGGTCATGCACTCTGATTTCAAAGAATAATAAACTCACGAATTAGGATAGTTTTTCGTCGTTGGGTGCACAATCTGTTGCAGGATATTTTAGCCTGCGTGCGATGTGTATTCGATTTCCAGTCGTGTTGTGCGTCCCTGGTTTAGGCGTTCTGTTTTCGAGAGCGCGCCGCCGACTTTCGCGGTCCCGAGAAAGGGGAACGCCTGTTTGCAGATAAAACAAAAGGCAACAAGAGTAAAAAGATAATCAAGACAAATATTGCTTCAGGCATGTTGCTTCGCCAATTTAAAGGGGCTCTTTCAGGCAAATGCTATGGTTCCGGTCAACCAAATCAAGTTTAACAAATTTACCAACCTTTTATACAGGTGTGACTATTAGAAATTTTCGTTATTAAATACATCTTTACTACAATTGAACATTCCACGTTTGTTTCAAGCCATACAATTTATCCTTGTAGATAATCACGTTTATGATTGCGTGCACTGGCTGCCGAGTTTTCATAGGTCATTAACATAACATTTTAGTGTGTTAGAGTATATTTTGTATAAGACAAAAAAAATGATTGTTTTTAAAATAAACTTGGAAAAATTTTCACTTTTTGGTTGCTTCGATCTTTTCATGTACGGACGTATCTCGCACCAATTTAAGTTCCTACTCCTCCCCTAAGCCAACATTAACACTAATTTCTCACTAAGGACAACATGTTGGCTTAGGAGAGGGGTAGGGGGCAGTTTCCGATCTCTTCTTATGTGCACCTGCATCACACGGTCACGTGGGTTTTTGTTGTCATGGTTACAAGGCACCAAAGTACACAGTATTCCCACCGGGATAGATACAGACAGTTCCTTTGGTCCTAAAATATCTTTCTACTTACAATTCACTCAGCCTTACCAGAATAATTTCATGGGCATGTCGTCACTGTCTCGGCGATACCAAACGTCTTTCGAATCCTACCTAGAATTCTCAACAATACCTAAACCCTTGGAACTTTGTTAACCAGCTTTCTCGATTTGCCTCAGGTGCCTTTGTTAGAGTGGTTTGATTTTTGGAAGGAAAGCAGATGAATTCAATTTGTCAGCCGCAGAGAAAAATGCAGGTTTTGGTTTCGAACTTAAGGTTTCCTCAACGCTTATGTCAAACCCTGTTATGTTTAACTGCATTCACTGATCCTTCTGGTCTTACGATGTCTAAACGATCTGACAAGGTTTTATTCCTAGAGGGGAAGACTTTATTTATTTAACAATTATTCCTCGAGCACGAATGGGCTCTGAGTCAATAGCCCATGAGGCTGAAGGCCGAATGGGCTATTGACTCAGAGGCCATGAGGGCGAGAGGAATAATTGTTTTAGTAAAATCCAACTAGTAGTGGGTCAGTAATATCGCTAGCTAGTTAAAGCTAGACTTTAATCCTTCTTTGCCGCCAAAAAGCCGGCGCTTTTCGTTATTAGTGGGCTATAACTTATAGCCTAGTAGTAGCTCAAACAATTAGAACGCCGCGTTGATAATAGACCACTAGTTGGATTTTACTAAAGAGGGAATATCTTAAAACTCAATTTTTGACTTTTTTGCAAATTTCATAGTTCTCGCCACTTCCCGTTCTGGATGCGGACGCTACTTTCTTGTTGAAAAAATAGGGTAAGTTCCCAGAGCTGCGATCTTTTTGGCCAGCGCCAGGGATCAGGAACCAGCAAAGATAACACGCGAGCAAAATAGGACAATTGCACTTGACGTCATTTTACTACAACTACCCGAATCCTTCAGTGTTGTTTTCTTGTGCAAATTAGGGCTCAGAGGGATCGACAAATTAAAGTTGAATAAAAAAGCAAAAACGAAATAAATTCTGGTAGTTGTGACAAATGTCGTCATCTTGAAAATGGCCCATACCTTCCATGTCCGCAATCTCGTTCCAGAGTCCCCTTGGTAGGTACTCAGTATGATTATTATAGTACCATCCCTGTTGGTAGTTCCGTTGGACAAGGGTAACGCCAACTCTGGGAACGAGATTGTGACCGTTGGTAACGGTTGTTTCAAAAGCCTGGCTGGAAGTCCGTGATTCGTGGACTTGCTAATCTCGTCCCAGAGCCAGGGTTCCCATCTTCCGAAACCGGAACAACAACATCCTAGTTCATTTTCCAGAACCGGAACCACAATTTTTGTAACGTTTATACCAGTCGTCTCCAGTGGTTTTCGTAACGCGCACGGCAGCGGGAGAATGGGCCTGCGCGTAATAACAGAGAGGTAAGAGTTGACTGGGGACTAGTCGGAGCCAATCAGGGTTGTGTTTCTTACGGATTCTGGTAAGTGATCCTTAGTGCTGACCAAAAGGATCGCAGCCTCCTGGAAGGAATGGAGAATGACTTTTTTGCCGCGGACCCATTCGTCCCTGGCAAAAATACCATTTAGAGCTAGTCGAGCCGTTTTCTGGTAGAGGGCCCAAGAACAAAAGCCTCTAAGATTACATGTCTTTTGTCCGTGACGCCAAATATAAGCTTCCGAAGTTCGGGAATGCACAGAGGTGCCACTACCCCTCGACTTTAACCTTCTCCGTTTCTTTCGCTTCCTTGCCCCGTCTTTTTTCCATGTTGCTGGGCATTTACTAGGTTTCACTTCGCTGCGAAAGCATTTTTGAAAACCTTGCCGGAATGTTAAATTAGCGTCCAGATGGTAGTGTTGCGATATTTTATTGGAATTTTTGGGTAAACTTTACATGCTCTTCTTCCGTTTTTCTCTGCCCTGTTTGACCAAGATCTCTCTTGGTTTGAATTGTGGTCATTCAGGTATGTTTTGAAAAGTTGGATGTTAAATGTAACCTCGTTCCCAGGTCCTGTCCTACCCATCCCTGCGGAGCGATAGAAGCACGGGTAGAACAGGACCCTGGGAACCAGATTGTGTCAAATGAACGTTAAAATTGATGTCGTCACGTTATTATACATTGAACTCACTTTTTTTTCTGATTGGCCTAAAACGGACGGTGAATTGTCACAATTAACGCCTCTGATAGTGACTAGCTGCAGATTGTACGTACAATAATCTTGTCATGTTAAGGACAATGGTAATCAGCTATTCATATCATGTATGACCGCGCCACATAATTGAGGGAAGTTTGGGAAGTGGGGGGGCACCCTGACCCTGTTTAAGATTAAATCGTTCATTTCCCTACCCTGCTTAAGAGAAGGGGCATTTTCCCTTCATAATCCTGATTCACTTTATTTCGTATGCAGAATTAAGTCAGTTAGAATTATTGAGGCCCTCTCCACACAAAAGCGTTTTCACTGCGCTTTTCACAAACACGCGAACTCTAAAGTTCAAAAGCCGTCTTCACAGTTGCGTTTTTCGCTGCCGTCAATCTTAATTACGATCACAAGCAACGAACCTTGAAATGCTCACACAAAACGGATCACAGATCACAAACCATAGCCTTTTTGAACCGTTTTAGTAAAGTTGTTTCCTAAGAGGTCCGCTAAGATGGTTGACGGCAGCGAAAAACGCAAACGTCAGTTAGCTTCTGAACTTCAGAGTTCGCGTGTTTTTCAAAAGCGCAGTAAAAGTATGCTTTTTCGTGTCAACGAAAACGCATTGATCGATTCGCGTCCAAACTACAATTTTGATGCTTTTTCGACTATCCACACCAAAACGTTCGAAAACGATAGCGATAGAATTATACGTTGTGACGTAAGTGGAACTCTATGCGCATACTACAAACACACGCGCCTGCGATATTTTCGGTCGCCGTTTTCATTTTGATACGTTTTCGACCGTCAACACCAACACGATATGTATGCGTTTTCGTTTTGATCCACATTCAAGAGGGTTTTTAATGAAAACGCTCAGCGTATTAGTGTGGACGGAAGCCCTAAACGCATCGAAATGTATGCGTTCACAAACGAAAACGCACTAGTGTGGACGGGCCTGAGATAATTAAAGAAAAACTGTTGATATCACATAAAGACTGCGTACCGCAAACGTTCACACTCCGTTAGAGGTAGACTTTGAAAAAGGTCTTGCGCGATATCGATGACCTCTCGCGACTTCGGTCGGCCGTTTCACGGCCTGAAAAAGCTCGCTCTGCTCGCCAAACTCGTGAGGTCGACTTGTAGTAAGTCTACGTTGGAGGCTTCCGGTCTCGACAGTAAAAACTGAAAACTAAATCAGTTAAAACTGAAGCTTTTGCAACACTAGCTAACATTAAATGTCAAACTAACAATTATATACGGGCAGATAACAGTAAACAGAAAAACTCTTTAATAATCTTATTTACAGCCCTTTTACCCGACCTAGAAAGAATAATAATAATACGAAAAAATTTTCAATTACTTTCAAAAGAACGAGCCGTTACACACCATTGACATTAATTTGCTCGTAATGGGGACGTTTGGACCAGCAACAATCAAGCCCATTTCGCATGCCATACAATAATTGCATTTATGTAACTAAAGGTTATTGCAAGTACAGTTTATGAAAAAATGTACCAGGTATACTACTCAGTGGGGAATAATAGCAGAGATTCCCTGCAAAATGCACAGCTTTGCTGTATAAAATAGTTTGCACGACGGAGGATAAAAAAATTCTTACGAAATTCCACCATCAAAATTAATACAATAACTTGGTTACAGCTAACGGTTTACGGTCGTTTCGCCAACGTCCTGTTCGCTAACGTTTCGTTTAGCTTGCGTGTTACGTCAGTTCCCTAACTACTTTCGCCTGATCAGTGGCTGAAAGAACGAGGCATGTACATGGGTATCGCACCTTTTTGTTTCACGGCTACGAGAACGAGGAATGTACAGGCGCAGCGATCGCTTCGCTTCTTAGCGGAACGACATAAGACGTTGGCGAAACAACCGGTCATCCAGCTAAAACCCGTTTGTTTTACTTATAGATCTTTACTATTTTTCACTAATAATATAATCAAATAATCTCACTCATTTTTTGGCAGATATATTCTGGTTAAATTCTGATTCTGAAGCCACCTTCTACTCATGACTTTATAACCCTTTAACACTCTGGGAGCTCATTTCATTTTGGAATATTATTTTACCACCTACGTACTCCTCTGTTTATTATTATTTTCCGCTCTCACAATTGATAGAACAATTTTAACCGATTGTTTTATGAAGGTTATATGTATATTTTAGTCTTAGAAATTCTGAAACCAGGTTAAAATATGTTAAAATATGACTAGTTTGATGTTATTCTACTACTGATTTTAGCTATTGCTTGTTAAAGCACTCAATGGTAAATATAAGAAGACGAAACGTAACCTTCTCTGCAGGACAGGAAGGAGAAAGTTCCGAGGGCTAATTTGAATACTCGCACACCCCACAGAAAAAGCCTGCACTGCAGGCCACATCAATCAAACCCAGTCTCATTTTTTCCCTAATTACGCGCTTCTAATTTTCATAGGCCTTTGCTTTTGAGACGTTCCAGCTAACTGTGAGACTGGAACAGGTTGAAGGGGCTATGTCACCAGGATATTGCTGTTTTAGGTCAAATTATTTCTTAATATAGTTACCCAAAGCTTATACCCCTGCGCAAAATGTTCCTGTAGAGTTTTTGCGACCGACAAGAGGAGCCCACTATCCTAATCTCCAGGGTGTTATTACGCACTCGTCGCATGTATGTAGCCAGCATTCGTGGGGACCTCCATTAAGAATAAATGGAATGCACAGAACGCAATTTGATCACGCGCGTTTGGACCTTCTATCACTCGTAATGTGATCACGGGTGTTTTGACTATCTGTCACATGAAACTTACGCAAAGCACAGCAATGGAGCAAGAGCGTTTTGACTTTGATCGTTGTCGCCCGAACTCCGTAACCTTTGGTTATAACTAGTTATATGAAGAAGATACCAAACAAATTTCATCAGGGAGCACTGACCACTATTTTTTTGTTGTGTTATGTATCAATAAAAGTTTAGCGGGTCACTCATTGTAATGCGGTTAAGATACGGTTAAGTTTGCGTTGCGACTTCCCCCAAGCTTTCCGGCATTGCATGTTTTTTGCCATCTTATCCCTTTGCCTTAATCTTGTCCGATTCAGCCAGTGCGGCGCTTGCCTGCGTGCAGACGTCTCCTATTTCCTTTGTTGCACGCGGAAAACGGTCCCTTTTCCGCGTGCAACAAAGGAAATAGGAGACGTCTGCACGCAGGCAAGTGCGGCGCTGGGGAGATAAGAAAGGCTCTGCCAATACTCTCTTGTCCTAACCTACGGTAGTGGGGCGGTAAGTGTGCCTTGTGTTATGTTTTTTTTGTTTGCATAACTCGAAGTCTCTATAACCTGCCACCAGGCTATGTCCTCCCCCTTATTACGCCATGTTGTCGTTGGCGTTTTATTTACCTGCATGCGTTATTTAGCTGCGTGACTTTTGCATGCGTATCTTAAGCGGAATAGTGACAAAGATAGCAAATATTGTGACATAGCCTCCTCAAGCGTAATCGCATGGTCAGCTTTGTCACCATGGGTGCACAATTGCACAATACCCTGCTACCCACACGAACGTGGCACTGTTATTCTGTAATTAAAAATCACAGGTCTAGAATTTTCTGTCTTTATACATTTTCAAAGAGAAAGGGAAGTCTGTCACGATTGTCGCATGGGATGGGGGGAGGGGGAGGGGAAAAAGTAGTGACCAAATGAGGAAAATCTCTCTCCAGCCTCATCAAGTCTGCTTATTCAGTTTGCCACTGACTAAAAAATCCCCCCAAGATGTTAAATGTAAGAGTTTTAAAAACGCATGGTAAAAATATAATATTGAAACCAAACGGCTCTAAAATTGAAAGAAATAAGCGAAAATGAGTACGTCAGTTGTGCTTTTTGCCTTCTTTAAGATATGGACTAGGCACTCCATTTGCCACAATATCTCCATTTGCTACAGCTTCTCTGTTTTGCTTGTTGTTTTCGTACTCAACCACCTGACGTTCATGTTTCCTGTGCCTCTGGGCAAGATAAGAATGAATGTAGAAATTTGAAAACAGGACGAGGAAAGATACCATATAGAGAACCAGGGAACATTGCATCCACAGGGGGTAATCACACTTGACGTAAAGTGAAACAACACCATGACAGAGAAGAATGCAAAACTGTATCTGCAAGGGATGATAACAAATCAATTACAAAAATTCATAAGAACATGATCAGGGCCAGGGTTCGCAAATACGCCAAATTTTTCAAGATGACTCCACTGTGAATACGGAGGGAATCACTCTAACTTGCAAAATAGTTTTTTCTTTACCTTCTTCAAAACAAATACAATCTACATTAACTATAAATGTTGTAAACCTGACCTAAACCACCTTAATTGAAGAATTATTCATGTCTCTACACGTTGAGTGGATTTGAGCGTTTCTTGGTCAGCGGACTCTCACATAAGAAAGTAGCTAATACGATACATGAAAGATCACGGATGACATACAACTTCCAGCTGACCAGCGCTCTAAGAGTGACAGATACACGTACAGCTGTAGGGAAAGGCTGTGCAAAGATGTCAAAGGTTTGTTTTATTATTTTAACTCTTTGATAACTGTAAACTGTCACTTATAAGCCCTGGGTTTATACATCTTCGTCAGCGGTTATATGAACGTAGGGCATACACCGCATACAACCAGAAAATAAACAGGGCTTTGAAACAAGCCACTGTACATATCAGTGCTGATAAAAATACGTTTAACAATTACTAGTTTTTCATTAAGCTTCAAAATGTCATAAGAAATCGCATTCAGAGTGGGGATTATAATTAGAGCTAGAGGGGGGCTTATATATCTGGGGGGTGGGGTGGGTTAATATTGGATGTATGTGTTTTTGTTAAGGTAGATGTGATTATCACGGGGGGGGGGGTGGCTTATAACCAGAAGAATTAGGATTATCAGTAAGCTGTATAGAAAGAGCTTCTTATTTCCAGTGGTTAGTTAAAATTACATAATGGTAAAAATTAAGATCAAAAAATGACTTTGGACTGTATATATATAGCTGTGTAGGAAAGCTTCTTTTTTAATCAAACTATTCAGCTGCTTTGAAAAAAATGTAACGCGATCAAATTATACTAGGTGCAGGAAGTATCACAGGGGAATAAATTGTCGCAGTCTGATAATTGTTTAACAAACTGAAACCACTCTCCACGATAATACTTTTATCAGGCAAAGAAGGAGAAACAACTTACCAACTGAAACTGGGTGAGATGTCTTTTCCACCATAGGTACTTGCGTAAACTTGGCACAGCTGACATCCCATAGTAAGTGTACATGATGACATGAACCAAGGAGTTAATCATTGCACTTAAAAATGCTGTGGATACGACAGACTTAACAGTTACATGTCATTCACCCCATGTAAGGGAATCCAAGACAGTCTTGGATTCTGGATTTCACACCATAAATTCTGGATCCTTTAATTTGTCAGTGGAACTTGGATTCCGGCTTCCAAATGTTAATTAGTGGAATCCTGATTCCTTGAGCTGCATTCTGGTTTCCAAAGCCCAGGATTCTGGATTCCACAAGAAAAAAAATTTCTGGATTCTGGATTCCACAAGCAAAAATTTCCCGGAATCGGGTTCCGTTCACGAGGCAAATTTACAGTAATATATCAAGCTTTTTGCCATCATTGATAGCACTTATTCAGAAGTGCTCCTACTATTCTGTTCACAAGGCCATGCAAAGATTCTTTCAGTATATTGAAGGGATAAGTGGAAAAAAACACTCCCCAAGTGACTTCAGATAAATTGCTATTAATATTCCTTTGCTATATTTGTTGGTGTAAAAAATAGAGGATTTGACATAACAAGAAGACTTAATTCACTTAGGAACCTATTTATGCACCCCTTCAAAGCTGAGGGTTGGCCTTAAATTCCCTATCATTAAATTAAATCTTGTTGTACTTACATTGTCCACCAGCCACCCATTTGATACCAATCCACCAAAGGCAGACCATGGTAGTGTGATGATACACATGTAGAAAAGATACTTGACTATTCTTCTTACGCAGTAGAAAAAACATCTGACAAGTCAAAGGAATCCATTGAATACAGTGCCGGTACAGTACATGTAGGTGGGTATTTTTTATTACAATGTAGTATTTTGCCAAGGTACACATACATGTTGTTCACTTCTACATAAGCCACAGGATCTCCATCACATCCAGAGCTTATTACTAAAAGTGAGACTTCATAGGCATGAAGGAACTGCAGGTATCACGGCAATAGAACGTTACTTGTACAGTGTATTAACAGTGTATGGTGAAGTTCAAAGTTGGTAGTACCCATGCATCTACAGGATAATATATATACAGTGCTTTACAAAGTGAATTTGTTACCATGGTTTCCCATGCAGACCAGAGCCCCACCAAACCTTGACCCTTGAGTAAATAGACATTTGAGTGTAAGGGGGGAGGGTTAAAAACTGGTGCAAGTCATAAATAAGATTATTACATTCCATTCCAAATGGATTTCTGACATACTGTACATGTACTTGTCATTTGATCATGACATTGCTGTTTAATACCATCTGTATATGAGGCCTTTTTAGGCAGTTCTAGAAGCTCCGTGGCCAGCAAAAAACTTTTAATTTATGGGAATGTCACAGATCAAAATTGATTTCAGGTTTATTTTTAATTGCCCTAGATTGACACTTAATTCCCATGGTCTCCAGAGCCCCTACAGGAAATAATACTGAGAAAATTATCAGCTTAGGTTAAAACTGTCACCATAAATCAAATTTGCTACATGTATCAGATAATCTTGATGCCCTAAACTTCACATCAGGCCTGCAGGAATCTTAAGGCCACAAGTTGCAATTGACACAAAAGACTGACAATTAACTGCCCAATTCACAACACCAGCTCACTTTTGAAACAAAGTAACGATTGCACAATTAATTTTCTGAAAAAACAACAACAACAACAAAAAACAGAAAATAGAAGCCGTTGACATACAATGTACACGTGTACTTACAGTGTCTAGAAGTTCCATAATTTTTGAGGCATAGAACCACCACAACACTGAGGCAATCTGGCAAGACCACAAATAATAATAATAATAATATATAAAATCAAAATTGCATTAAGACTGGGCTATCCCAATTCCTATTTATACAACAAAAGATGTAATATGTTGCTCTAATGGCTATATTTATCATTTTCTTGATTATATAACGTTGCTGCTTTTTGTCAATGCCAATGTCATTCATCATGTCTAAGAACGTGGAGCATTCATAAGAGAAAACACCAAGGGAACTCATGGAGAGATTTACAAATCTCACACATCTGTAATTTCTACTCATTTTGTTGATCAAGTCCAGATATTTCTCTTTCTTACGGACTGCATCGTTGTTAAGGTTAGACTCGAAACCAACTGTTAATTCTAAAACATAAAAAATTAAGGCACTTGACTGGATTAGGAAAAGAAGATCTGGACGATAATTTTCACCAATCCACGAAGTGGCTCTTCGCCTGTACACTAACAGCTATCTAAACTAATATTCTAGAAATTTACAAAAGCGCTAACAATTAACTTCTATGAGAGGAGTTAAAAAAAGACAATAATAACAAAAAATAATAATAGATAAAATAAATAAATACGCTAAAAAAGTAAAAATTAAATTAAATTAGATTAAATAATAATAAGCACATATTAATATGAAAACAACTATCATTTGCATAAATTGAAGGGATTTGAAATAAGCAGGGATGAAAAAAGGGTTTTCAGGAAATATATCACAGTGTACAGTGTAACACAGCCCTTGGACTAAAACCAGCAGCAAAATTGACAATAGCCTGCCCTTTTCTACCAAGCCTCTCAGTTATTGAGGGGAGCTAGGCACTTGAATGTTTTACATGCATGCATTAGCTTTACATGCATAAAAAAGGGTTATATAAACCAACATTAATTCTCATGAAAATAACTACAGAGCCATCAGTAATATATTAGTACAACAGTTACAGCAGAGTGTGTATAAAATGCGAGCCAGCGAGTCATGTGAGCCATACAGTCCGTTAAAGAATCATTGAAAAAAACACCACAAAAATCGAAAACAGTAATCCGGAAAACATTAACTGAACACTAAACGTTGTAAATAAGTGTTTAACCCTAAACAGTGCTTAACCCTTAAAGCCCTACAATGAGCGCTTGACCCTAATCCATAAAATGAAAGTTTAACCCTAATTGTAAATTGTAAATGTCTTATAAACCAACATTAATTCTCAGGGAAATTTACAGAGATCAATTTAGTACAACACTGGTTTGGGGAAAATTGAGCCAGACTGCTTAATACAGTCCATTGAAGAATTTCAAAAAAAACCATAAAAAAATCAAAAACAGTAATGAAAAACATTAACTGAACACTAAACGTTGATAAGTGCCCCATACATGAAAATGAGCACTGATCCGAAATTAAAGTACAATGAGTACAATGAGTGCTTAGCCCTAATCAGTATAATGAGTGGTCAACTCCTCATCTGTAAATTTGCAGTTTTTTCTTGTGTTTCCTTTTTTTTTACCGATGCCTCGCGTGACTTGCATGGCTCGCTGGCTTGCAGTTTGTCAAGACCTGTTACAACACTGTAACATTTGCAGATTATCAATTTTACCAACTAACACCTTAGAAATGCAGCTTAGTCATTAAGGAAATTTGTTCAAATAAAGACAAAGCCAAAAAAAGTCCCTTACCCTCAATTCCTTTGGATTATTACTCATGTCCAGGTTTTGACAGGAATAACTATATCCAGCAGCAGTAGTCGAAATAAGAACCTAAAGAAGTATTCTACACGTAAGCTCTAAGAGGTATTTAAAACTAAAACTATCAAGAGGACATTGAGGACATTGGGAGATTTTGTAGTGTGACATCACATGCGTATTATCAGTTGCATATATTATTATGTGAAATATAGTTGAATATTATTGAGCACATGGCCTTCTGTGAAAAGTTGCTTTTTTTTTTCATCGTATTACTCCTTCTGCTAATACACTTCAGGTTTAGAAAAGACCAGATCCAACTGTTGACATGATTTTGTCAAAAGAGATACTACATAGGTCAATAAGTAAACGTCATACATGTATCCAAACAGCCCTTCAATTTGACAGCAGAGTAGGTACAAACCTTTGGTTTGCTCAATAGAAATTTAGTAGAGCAATTTTATTCTTAGTTTAAGAATGTGGTCCACTCTTAATCCTTGAATTTAACGGTAGTAATTAGCTGCACTTGAAGAATAACAAATAATAATTTACAGTGGCACCAGTGTAGTATTTAAAGAGAGAGATATGTCCTTTCAAAATTTAAGACATTTGACGACTCTGTTGGCAAGATTCAAAGACTGAAGGCAAAATTAAGGAGTTTTCAGACTGTATAAGGAGATAGTGCAAAAATTAGATAAGAGGACTGTAAAGGTCGCTTGAGAAAGCAGCTAACATTTTGCAATGCTACCACTGGTTTCCCCCCGGCTCTAAATGGCGTCTGAGGAATGATTGCAGAAATTCCATACTGATGACGTGTCACTATCCAGATCTGGCTAATGCTTTTTATTGGTCATGTCACAAGAGATTTACTTCAACCACTCAGAAGCACTTCCCAGATCTGGGTTAAGTGACACATCATCAGTATGGAAATTATATATTCATGGGGAAATCTGTGGTAGTGTTGCAAAAAGTTGGCTGTTTTCTCAGGCTAAGGGATAGGCAGGGTGAATATACCCATTGTTAGAACAGAATGACCAGAATCAGAATGCCATAGAATAATATTAATGTGCAAACAATGAAATCAGTAAACTAAGAAAAGGACTACTTTTTAGAGACTTCTGGGGATAGTGTCAGGTTTAAAAGGTTAACAACTTCTTTTCACTAACCTCAACAAAGATGTATAAATTCAAAAGTGTCATAGCAGCATTGTACAGCACAAGTAGGTTTGTCAGTTGAAATGGTTCCTTGTTCTTCATCACTTTGGGGAGACTCCACACTAACAATAAATAAATTGCTACAAAAGAAATGGGTGAGAGGATGGATGGGACAAATAGCCATTTTGTAGTTCTTGGATCTAAAACAAGATGGAATAAAAAAAGTCAAGTATTAATTAATTAATTAATTTTGAGATCTTCCTTAGAGCTTAAATTTCTAGGACATAGTTTTCTTTGATAAAGTCAAAGGTTTTCAAGGACCCCTTTGTTATCATTTTCTTAGAAAATAGCAAAACCATTCTGTTAAAAAAAAAAAAATACTGGCTGAGTACAGCATTCAGCAAATAAAAAATCGACATGACATTTCAGTCTCAAGCAAATGGCTGAAGATAAGCAAAAGTTAATTTATGGCAATCTTCAGCCATTTATTTATTCGAAATTTAGGACTTTTTAGGGGTTCAGATGCTCTTCAAAAAATTGAAATTGAACCCCTAGAACAGACTTATCTGGGTGTGGCTTAAGCTTTATTTAGTGATATTATGGACAAAGAAGAGCTTTAACCCTTGGCGGTACAAGGAACTTCATACCCCACTGTGGGACAGGGGGGGGGGGTGGATGTAACCCCTCCCTGGAGTTTTTGATATGTTGCAGTATTTCAAAACAATTTGACATTTTTTTTTAATTTTAGTGGAAAGCCATTGATCTTCTTAACAAGATCAAATATATTTTATGGGTGGTGGCACTATTGTTGAGAGAAGTTGAAAAAACAAGTACTTTCACTCAAAAATGGCTTGTCCACCTGCTACTTATGACGTCATATCTCATAACCACAGCAACTGACCATCACTGAACTTGCCTCAAAATGTGTGCGAGGGATGAACAAACAGCTACTGAAAACGTCAGGTGCTGAGGTTTTATCCCCAAGGAAAAAACTCAGGAAAACCTTATGGGGGGATGCACCCCCCCACCCTCACTGTACGTCCGAGCGTTAAGTCACAATTTTATTTTAATTCTGATAAGGAAGTTGTCACTGAGGGTTTCTTTCTTTCCAGTTTCTTTGCTTGCAAAATCTGCAACCATCGCCCCCAAAATAAAAAGACAAACATCCTACCCCTCTCATATGGAAGTCTTTCACCCCTTCCCTCCCCTCCCCCCCCCACCCACCTAATAATCATAGTTGAGGTGACTGAGTTAGGTTTACCTCTACCGGGGGAGGGGATACTCCCTATAATGGTGTATACGGGGACGCCTGCTACGCAGGCTACCTGAAAGAGGTATAGGGAAATCTATCATTTGGGTCTGTGAAAGGGCTAAAGAGCTAACAGACGATTTTTATGGCTTTATAAAATTGAAAAAATGTTCTATTTTTGTGATGGATTCCTATTTAAAAGACAGTGCATTTACAGCAGCTAAAAGGATGCAAAGTGTTCTAAGCAAGGTATGAGAAAGGGGTACTATTTGTAAATTAAAAGTTACACGAAAAGGGGCACCGCAAAAAAAGGCATATAAAAGGTAAGGGGTTGGACCTCGGGGCGGTGCCTCCCCGTATTAATATTTGTTGAGTACCAGCCCCCCTCCCCCTCCTGGGGCCTCTACCAAGAAAGAATTTTATAAGGTACAAATCAGGTTATTAAAGATACTCCCATGTTTTTCCAATAAAGTTTGTTCCCTTTAGTTAGGTCATTGTGTAAACTGTATTTGTATCATTGTATTTTGAAAACACAATGTAACATGTAACATCTACCTACACTGTAAGTCTGTATCAGTCTGCAGAAAACGTAAATAAACTTCTTGAAATTCTCTCTAATCAAAGTTGTTTGATGAAGAGGGTTGCGTTTCACAACTGTAACAATTTGGTCACTAATACTTTGTATTGTTTCAGTTATACCCGATCAGAGATACCCGATCAGAGGTCACCATGCAAAGAACGTAAATCGATCCGGCGTTGTATCTAGCAAATAAATTAAATTAAATTAAATTATTCTTCATTCTTTACAAACTCACTCACCACTCACAGAATCGGCCCATTTGTAGAAATCTTGCAAATCCCTGACCCACTGCATTTTTATACCATACGCCTGTTACACGTACAAAAGAAAGTTTCACGGGGAGAAATCAAAGGAAAACAATCTTTAGTTACTAAGGGCCACACAAAAACACATTATGTACATATTATTTACAACCGTGATCTTTGACATCTGTTGCAATATGATTGTGCGCTCCGCTGATAATTTTACGGCATGAGCTAGACACGAGTTTATTATGCAACTACTCCTGAGAGTTGAACATTTTGGATAACGTCTGGCATTTAAAAACCGATTGCTTAATTACAAGAAAATAAGTCGCTTTTTTCTGCACTTTCAATTTTCGAAGGTATTTAAACGAAACTCGTGGAATGTAAATAACCTTATCACCGGCAGCTGCCACTTATTTCTGCAAAGCGACACACGCACAGCTGACGAACAGAGCAAATATGTTTACTTCATGACTATTCCCAGTGTTTTCACTTTTCAACTTTTCCGGGCAAAGTCTGCAGACAAAATAAAACTGGAATGGAAATGCGTCTTCACGATTCACTTCACAGTCGATTAACATCGAGTTGAGCCTCACGTGCCCGGGACATGTGCAAAGTTCGTGGACACGGTGATCGTCCACACTGCTCTCTACCTCACAACAGCAGACGCCTAAAAATGCATCTTGCGCTTTAACACTTAGTTAGTTGTGCTCACCTTTTTAGTCAACTGTCAAAGAAATAGTGGAAAAGTTGCAGAAATCATTTAGAGCTGCAGGAACGGGAAATTACTTGTAAACAAAGTGGGTCCCGGGGATGTAAATTGCAGCCCGCGCGCACGCTTGAGGGAGCCTGTCGCGCCACTGCAAATGAACCAATCACGTTGAAGGATCACACTTATCTTTGACCTCGTCTTACGATTCTTTCTTTTTGCCCACTGTTTATTAATTGCGCACACCTCACTACCAGCCATTGCGAAGTGCGCCGAAGCTTCCAGTTTTGTAGTGGTAAGTTTGACCTTTTATGTGTTAAAATTCTTCATGGTGAGCTATTTAGTTTAGCATCATTCACATTACTTGTGTCAGCCTGGTAGGAAATGTCGAACGTCTGATCTGAAGCTCTGGAAGCTCGGGGAAGACCTATGAGCTCAATTTCCTCCCAATTTAAAATCTATGGGACAATCCTTGAATTTTATTCAATCTGTCGAGCCTTGTGTAGAAATTTTTTCGGATAACATACCTTGCAGTAGCGAGAATCCTACCAAAACGACGTTAGTTAATGTTACGTAAGATTAATTGTCTGGAGTTAAATTACTCGTGGTCGTCGCTCTAAATGATCAATTTTCTCTTTCACGTAGAAGCTTATTTCCAGATTTTCTTAAATCATCTCGCACATTTAGCTCTTGATTTTGAAGAGTCTTTTTCTTTTTTCTGTATTTGATGAACATGTTATCCCTTGAACATGAAGTTGATTTCCTTTATAACTTGCCATTCATGTGCTGATCGATCTTTGTACATTGTACAGCACAAAAACGTACGCGTGTGTGTCAGTGATCAAATGATTTTCTATTTTATTTAAAGAATCCACCGCCAAATAAATGTCTTAGATTAAATTTGATTCAAATTTTTTTCGTTTCTTTCGTTTTACATTTTCTGTAGTTTGACAGTTTGTGTGGAATATTTTGCGTTTTTTGTGTGGATTCTGCAGGACTCTCACTCTCAGAAATACTAAATGACATAGAAGTCACATCTTAGAAAATGAGATCTGTTTGTTTTTTACGTACCATGTCTTTAAAAAACGCCTTATAGAGAAACTCAATGACACGTGTTTCTGGACACTTGTTGGGGACACCAACATGGTGTCTGCAAAGTGATATTATATTACAGTGCAACTACTAGTATAACCAGGGCCACCTAGACAAAGATGACCAATCAGATTACAGGAAAGTAACAATACATTCCGACAAAGTTATTTGTCAATCATAATCGAAATATACAAAATGGATCGAAATCAACCAATTAATTACAACCTGCAGACATGACCTTTTGAACTGAAAGCCCATGTTTCTGGAGAGGTCCGTTAGAGAGAATAATGCAGGCAAAAAAAGTGAACAAGAGTTACATTTTTGACTTGAGGTCGTGATGTTATTGCAAAGCGAGGCAATGGTATAATTGCTGCTAGATGTCAAAATAACAGCTTGTGTCTAACAAATATGTCTCCTGGGAATTGTATGGAAAGTTTCGAATAGAAAAATATTGTTTGGTGGACATTTTGCTTTCTTGAATAATGTTTGCTATCAGTATTTAAATTTTGTGCTTTGAGCAGCTTGTTGTTTTTTACGAAGGGAAACTAATGTATGGTTGGTTAAAATTACGTTATGATCTGTAAATGAAATAGAGAGATTTAATGCTCATTTACATTTTCCTTTCAATTACGTTATGCAAGGGCTGGAAATTTCATGATAAACAGTGCAAAACATGGTTTGTTTAAACTCGTCGAACTGCAGCCAGGTGAATGCTCTTTTCAACTCTTTGTTGTTTTTCTTGATGTTCTATTTCCTATTCATAAATTTCGGGCGGCAACCTCTTTGTTAAAAAAACTCCAAGGATCTCTGCGTCATATCTGTACATAAATAGGCTGGACAGATGAGCCACTTGTGAAAGAAAATGAAGCAAATGTAGAAAACAATCAAAATGGTGGAGAAACCGTAAAATTCCAAAATAAGCCCTGGGAATTATATTTTTCAAAGGCCCTTTTTTGAGGGGCTCATTTTTGGAGGAGCTTATGTATGGAGGGAAACTTTGCGTTTCAAAATTGGCTAGGCTAACTTATATATATATATAGTTGGAAGGAATTTTATGTCAGCAATTTGCAGAAAGGTTTTACTGAAACTCGCCTTTAGGATGCAGACCTTTGTAAAATGCAACCATGCAAGTACTTTGTCTATATGGACCAAGGAAATCCTAGCCAAGACTTAAAGTGCAGAGCAAACTATGCAAACAGCAATTAACTGCGACAATTTCTGACTTCAATCATTTGGCACACATAATCGTTCTTTGGCAAATCGAAAATTTATGTGTTACTGTACATTTTTTGCTTTGATTTATTTTGAATTTGAGGGTAATTTTCAAGTACAAGCCAGTGGGGGCTTATATCTGGAGGGGCGATTTAATGGAGGGCTTTTTGTTTTACGAGTTTGGGGGTCTTAAATTTGGAGGGGCTTGTAGATGGAGGGGCTTATTTTCTGAATTTTACAGTAAAATCTGAAGCTGCGTCCAGATCCCCCCATCCAACAATGCCTGGTTACCTTACGTATGTCAAATGTGCATCTTTCCTGTGTTCGATTATGCTGTAAGCATATCTTTTAGAACAGTAAGTTCTTTGAGAAAGAACACAATCTTGTGCAAAAAAGAAACACGTGTTAGATGATTTTCTAAAACAGAAATTTTCACTAACCGTGTCTGGCTACTAAGGCTCATTTTCAGTAACCAAATATTGGAAACTACTAACTGTTGGTTAATAGGTTTTCTGTTAGTTTCTACCCTGAAAGCAGAGGCTTCATTTTCGCTGTGTGAACTGTCGTACGAAAAGTAGCCTCTGCCAACAACTGTTCAATTTTCTATCATGCATGCACGAAATTCGCCACGCGATTTGCAAGCAAAATTAATCGTCAGGTCTGTTATCAAATGGCGTGAGTTTCGAGGGAATAAAAAAATTGTGACAACTCTGATCTGCTACAAAAGACCACACAAGACTCACGCAACGAATGGCTCTAAACCGGTCAAGAACAGAAAAAAAACAGTTTTTTAATTTATTCATACAAATCTCTGGACAGATTTGAATGGTTGTCGGCAGAGGCTACTTTTGCACGCCAGCTCACACAGTGAAAATGTAACCTCTGCTCGCAGGGTAGTTAATTTTTGAGCCCTGCTGTTCGAAAAGAGTAGGGGATGTAAACCCCGGTGGTGTGTCCAACCTGTCTTGGGGTGGATGGGTTATCTGCAAGGAGAGATCTTAATATAAGGATAACGTCATGATCCTCCTTCAAAGGTCATAATAGCAGCCTGTAAACAGCTGTGTATGAATGTCTCATAAGAATTATCCACTGGTTCTTGGAATAATACAATTTATGGTTGGAGTTAAAGATTGACAACTGATGCGACAGTATTTTAAGTGCTGCTGTGAATATTTTTACATTTGATAGATTCAAAAGCACCTTGAGACACTTGGAAGTCTCCTTTATATCAGTGGTCGAGAAGTTGTTGTTACATGTACCAATTTTGTGGGCCCGTGCTTTGACTTGCGAGCTGCAATTTTTTTTTAAATTTTATATATCATCGTCTTTGTTTTACAGTCTAATGTTTCCTCTTGGACACCTCTCTATTACAGACAGTTTGTTTTGTCCCAGAAATGCCCAAAATCATACTTTCCCTACCTCTATAATACGGACACCTCTGTAAAGCGGACACTTGGTTCTGTCCCTTTGTTGTCAGTATTGAAGAGGCTTGACTGTAGTCACAAAATTACAAAATTAAGGGCTGAATGTCTATTGCCAAGTGTAGTAAAAAATTTATGTAGAGGTCTAATAATTTATGAAAAGGGTAATAACTGTAGAAAGCGTCACACTATTTATGTCAGTCGTGAATGTTTACAAGAACATTTACTGCAGAATAGGGTTCAATTTATCTCCTCCCCTTGGGCAATTTATAGGTGTGTAACTGCAAACGTGAAAGTGATCAAAACCCAGAGTGAGCCCAACCCAGGAAGCTTTGTGGGATCATTATACATTTCTGGGAAACTGCCCACCTACCCTTCCCCTAAGTCAACATTAATTTCTTCTCACTTAGGGCCAAATGTTGGTTTAGGGGAGGGGTAGGTGGGAAGTTTCCTAGAAACCTATCTGTAATAATCTGCCTTTGGGAAAAGGTCTAGTGTAACCTGGATGTACTTATGTGTTGGCCAACTTCATGATTTTATCAGATTCCTTACTTTTTAGGTATTTTTCACTTTATGGCTACCAGTTGGGAAAAACTGATTAAATTTGGGTTCTGTTGATAAATTCAACGATATGACATTATAATGGCATCAAATTACATGTTTGTGTCAATGAAGTTGTACCTAGATGTGGAAATGTAGCGAACAAGCTCTATTTTGAGAAAAAAATAGCTTGACCAAAGGCCTGTTCACAGGCTGAATTCATCATTCTGTGTTATTTCTCGTTTGCTCCCTCGTGTCCAGCCACGCCTGGACTCCATAGACTTCAAACGGACTGCTAGCAATTCTAAAACGGCTGCGTTGCGGTTCCTTTCATGTTTTTCCTTAAAAGGATTGACCGCCGCATGTAAATTGCTTAACTGGCTATCATAAATAAAAAAAGGGAAATTGTTAACCTGTAAACAACGTATTCTAGGCTTCTATTAAGAAGTAGTTAGCTGTAACTCGAAACTTCTTGCTGATGAATTGACAACTGAGACGCGAAACCTGTCACGCATGGAAACACCTGTCATTTTGTAGCTTCTGATTCGCTCGTTTTTTTTCAACAGTCTGGGTTGCGCTTGCTTTTCTCCCGTTTCGATTCTTCGTCGCAGCGTGATATTTTGTAAGTTATCGAAAGCTACTGAACCGTCGCTGTATAAAGAAGAAAATTAATTGCAAGAGAATTTTTGGGTGAGTTGTTATAGATCAACGTTTTTCCTTTTCTCGCGTTCTAACAGTCTGTTTTAGTTTTGCCGGCGTGACAATTATAATTTCTTTAGCTTTTTATTAGTGTTCATTTTTTTGGGCACAGTTTTCGTGTTCCATCGAATAGTTGACTTCACGTTTTGAACCACAATCTACCTCTGTGTGCTTAAGTACTTTAAGATTGTCCCGGTTAAATCAAGCGAGTTTTAAATTCCTCCCCACGTTTGAAATTTGGTTTAAATTTAAATCGCAATTCTCGCGTCACCGCCTTGTGCAGGTCTGTGAAATAAATTCACGATTAGTGCATTCATTATTATACGGGATGCGCTATAGCTGGACAAGACTAGCTTGCCTTTCCTGCCTTGCTAGTCGATGTTTTATGTAGGTAGTGTTTCCATTTGCTGCAAAGTTTTAGGAGGCGGTTTTAACGCTTTAGACGTCGTTTGTGAAACAAATACACTTTTAATAGACACCCATTTATTTGTCATCTGTCTAACCCGTTTCCAGACTCCGAGATAGTCGGGTCCGCGAACACGAAAATTGAAACGGGGGGAAACTGGGAAGAGGAAGGACGCAAATCACGCACTCATATTTTCGCGTGCCTTTATACGCTAACGCGTCATCCTTTCTATCTGAGACAGGGCAGATAAATGTTTATCCTTTATCCGCCCTGATCTGAGAGCCTGGAACAGGCCATGGTCTGTCATGTCCTTTAATGTTTCACGTCACTCAGTACATTACTTTTTGTTTGCTAAAATTTTAAAGTTAATCGGCCGAGACTAGGAAATAAACATTTAAAGTTAAGTACCGACAATGCTTCAAATCTTGTGAAGGAGCGTTCCCCCTTCCCCGCCCAAAAAAAAAAAACAAAAATCTTTCAGCCAACTGTCACTCATTTATCCGAACGAACACCCATAGATTGTGGACACACATGGCCGGTCACAAAACTTGAATGGCAAACTGGTAGATTTGGACATAAAGAATTCGTTTTTTTTTTTTTCATTCGTTGACCGACTTTTAGGCGTTCAAGTTTTGTTATTGATTGACTGACTGTCGTTGACTGTCGATAACATTACTGTTGGTAATTGTTGTTTATAGGTTCGAGTACAGCGCTGACCGCGGCTGGATTTGTTTCTCGGCCGTCCCAAGTTCAAATCGACGGTCATACTGATTATACTAGTAATAGTGGACACTACAGCTGCCCCGCTCTGTATATTGTCGGTCAATAGTATTCTTGCTCGTTGTGCTGCTCTTTGAAATATACCGATTCATAATGAAGATGTTCACACATATTCCATACAATAGGTGAGATAAGTACAGGAAATAAACGCAAGGTTCTATGCACAGTTTCGATTCGATTTACACAGCTTTGATCAAAACATTTTCGGTTTCGAGAATAGTTTATTCTAAACCATAAGAAAAGATTTAATTAGAAGTTTAATTTTTCGCTATTTCTATTTCACTTTTTACATTTAGTTCATTTTATTTGCCGGAAAGTAAGCCTTAGAAACTAAAAGGACGTTTGAACAATTCACGCTCGCGCATTCTAGTCTTATTTTAAACTTTATAGTGGAAGGACATCTATGAGCAGGGAATAAGTCAGCACAGAATTTGATGGTCTGCGAATTTCTGTAATCGTCCATCGTTCTGCTGGTGATACTCTAGCAGTTGAATCATTCACTCTTCTTGCTTGTTTGGGGCCGAGTCTACCGTACGAGCAGAGGCCCTTCGATCTTTCTAGGAAGATCGAAGCGCTTCTGCTCGCAGGGTAGACCGAGTCTTTTCCCGGTCAAAGAAAGAGAAAGAGTGTCTGGCAAGGTTTCCAATCAAAGATTTGTGAACTCGTGTCTGGCAAACTCACTTAGTGTTAAAATATTCAGTGTTATACGCACCTTATAACTTCATCTACGCTTAACGAGTGTCTTTTGGTCCATAACTTTCATAACAAATGCTCCACAGAATGTCACTGATAACACGTAACGCAGAAGAGTATCGTAGCATGACTGCACAATTAATGTCACAAAATCTACTTATTGTAAGCGGCCCCTTCGGGGTTTTTTGTGTTTTACGTCGTCCTAACCATTTCGTACTTGCGGGCGCAAACAATAGAAACGTCATCATTACCTACCGATTCCTCGCGGCCCCTGTTTAAGCAAATCGAGATTTTTTCCATGTTGACTGTATGACTGTATATTTCAACTGTAAGTACTTTCCTTAATATACGCGCGAGTTACTAGAGTGCCTCCTCGGGATTTCGCCTTCTGGGCGAAATCTCTGCGGGGGCAATTACTCGTAAATAGGCAAAAATAGGCAACTGGTTGCCTCTTGCGAGTCAGGGTGTTTAATCCTGTTGTGGTTTATTATAGAACTATGTTTATTCTGTTTTGTTATAAAGCAGCCAAACCAGCTAAGCGAACTTTCACTAAAAACAAAGCTTTCACATTATTTACAGGTAGTTAACGAACACTGATATGACGACAACTACACAAAGACTAGTAGATTATTACCAATGGGTCATCGAAAACGGCGGTAAGTATCTACACCGACAAACTGCCCATCTCACTCCATGTAAGGACAAACTGACCGTTAGTTCATCATCGTATCCAGGGTCCTGTCCCACTCCTCGCTCCGCGGCACCAATAGGAGTGGACCCTGGGAACGAGGGACCGTCCGTTCATCCGTTCTTCACAGATAACCTTCTACGGCATTCTACAACCACGCTCAATACGGGCACCTTATTATTACAGACAGTTTGCTTTGTCCCTAGGGAAAGAAAGCCCTTTTATTTTCTTTAAATCCAACCCGCGCTAAACACGAAAACTTTCTATGACCCCCTCAGTGTTCATATTAGCGGGGTTTGACTCTTGTACCTGGTAATCCGAGCTACAAATAACAGGCGGTCATCGGCCAATGTCCGACCAAAATTTGCTATATGCCGCACAGGATTCCTACCTTTGGTCGCGGAACGTGGTGAATGGACATAGTTCATAGTTCAACTTAAGAACATCATTTTAAGGCTGCAGATTGGCAACGTCTTGTCTGTCTAGGTTGTTTGTTAATAATGCCAGTTGCGCGTCGTTTTTCGCGGTGAGGGAACGTAAAGTTATCCCCCAAAAATTACTTTTTAATGGCAAATTCACAGTTCTAGTTAAAAAAATTTGTCTCCCCAGCATCATAACAAACCTTACATACAACAAAAATAAGTTTTGAAAAACTGATAGCCTAACAAGTTTTCAAAAGCCCCAATTGTTATCTGTTTTAATCTTCGAGTTTGTCCATCTGGGGCTTATTTTGAATTTGCTCTTCTATTTATACCTTCTTTTATTGCTTTGAGCGATTATCATTTAACTAACGGCAATTCTCACTGTTTGAATATTGAAAAAATTGGTGACACAACCCCTTTAAGAAATTAAAAGTCAACTTACTGTGTATGTCGGACAAACCTTCTTGCTTTCTTGTTCGATTAAAATGGTGTCCTGTCTGTATGTTGTGGTCGTTATAAACGAAAAAATATATATTTGTATTTTCTTTGTTAATCGACACTACACTCTTCTTAGAAGGACTAATTGTACAACGCTCTGGGTACGATGTTGCTAATTTTATGTCTATGCGTAGCCCGGACTAAGCGTTCTTCTTACCATTATTTTTGTGTTGGATTTTCGCGAAATCAATCAAAAGCCGCGCACATTTGAGTCTGTTCTCTAAAACAATCAAGTGGTTATATTCTTGTTAGTTTGTTGTTTTAGTTAATTATTTGTTCGTAATCATTTTAAGGTCAAACGAAAATATTGCGGCATATTGCTATATGGTATGGTTTTTTTGTTCTTGTTAATAACATGTCTATTTTTTTCTCTCTTCTCTACTTAAGATCCCAAAACCGAGGAATGGCCTTTAATTGCCACTCCATGGCCGACTGTCGCTTTAGTGGCCATGTATTTGTTCATTGTCAAAGTAGGGCCCAAGATAATGGAGACCAGACCAGCTTACAGTCTGAGAGAAGTGCTGATTGTGTACAACTTTGCACTTGTACTTCTATCTGGTTGGATGGTATACGAGGTGAGCGTGCCTCATGGCTCAGTTATAACATTGAAGACGATGCCAGAGTGATTTCAGTCTGAAAAAAACGTGAAGAAAGCTGAGCATTTTGAATGATCTTGGTTTCCTCTTCTCATCTTTTTAGTGCGCTCTACGCATGAGTGTGGGAGGGCGCAGTTCGTTAATGAGTGTGGGAGATTACAGTTCGTGAGTAGCGTGAATGAGTGTGGGAGAGGGCAGATCGTTAATAACGTGAATAATTGTGGGAGATAAGATTGCAGATCGTGAGGAACGTGAATGAGTGTGGGAGAGGGCAGATCGTTAGTAACTTGAATAAGTGTGGGAGGTAAGATTGCAGATCGCGAGTAACGTGAAAACGTGTGAGAGATTTCAGCTCGTGAGTAACGTGGATGAGTGTGGGAGAGGGCAGATCGTTAGTAGCGTGAATAAGTGTGGGAGATAAGATTGCAGATCGTGAGTGACGTGAATGAGTGTGGGAGATTGCAGCTCGCGAGTAACGTGATAAAGTGTGAGAGATTGCAGTTCATGAGTAACATGGATGAGTGTGGGAGAGAGCAGATCGTTAGTAACGTGAATAATTGCGGGAGATAAGATTGTAGATCGTGAGTAACGTGAATGAGTGTGGGAGATTGTAGATCGTGAGTAACGTGAACGAGTGTGGGAGATTGCAGCTTATGAGTAACGTAAATGAGTGTTGGAGATTGCAGCTTGTGAGTAAGGTGAATGAAAATTCTGGGGCAGGGGAGATGATGGAAGTGGGATGGCATTTCAGTCTTTCATTTATCCTCTCATCGATTCATTTATTTATTCTGTTATTTATTTTTGATTTTATGCAGTTTATCGCTTCAGTCATGGATATTCCCAACTTTAACTTTTTGTGTGAGCAAGTGCCTTACGTCCGTGACGATCCAAGATTGAATCGGGTTTGTATAAACTACTTCAGCACAAAGTTGCACTCCTTAACTTAGTTTCGATCACTAATTCTAGGTTTCTTTCACCCAAAACTGTTTGTAAAATCCAGTTCCACTTTCATGAAGGCGATTTTGGTCAACTGTATAAGTAATGTCATTAGTGTTAATGCCTTACGTCACATTTTGCGCTTGCCTTCTATAAAATCTTTGTCAGGTGAATGGTACTAAGCACGTGTCGCTTAAAATTGAGTTATGTTTGTATGGAATAATTATAAAATCATGTGTTGGTTACATGTTAATTTTTTTTCTTTCAATTTTGTTGTTTTTGTTGTTGTCGTTGTTTTTATTCTTGTCGTCTTTTTTCTTTTTTTCCCCTCTGTGAACCAGTAGCTACAGACTTATATTTAACCCAGTTGTATTTAACCTTTATAAAACAGGAGTTTAAGAAAAACTGTTTTGAAGCTTATTATTGTTATCTTCCTGTTTTACAGCTGGCTCGCGTTTGTTACGTTTATTGGTTGTCTAAGTTTGTGGAGTATCTAGACACGGTAAGTACAGTTGATGAGTTACCCCGGTCAACTTTAGCAAGCGTTTATTCGAGAATAACCTCAGGTTATGTCCGTCTGTGGAACAGCGTCGAAATCCCTGTTCTGGGCCCCCACTTGTGTACCAGGATTTGAGTACATGTTCGTGCTATGATTGGCCTGTTAAAAGGCCATTGTCAATATGGCAATCAGGGCGAAGGGAAACTCGACACCCATTTCTGGTAATCCAGTGAGTCCCTTGGAGGACCAGAACAAGGATATCGGCGTTGCTTCGCAGACGTTACTAACCGTATTTAGATTACGTCTGCAACGCAAGCTAAAGGCTATCTCCTGTAGGCGGATGACATTTCTTCCCGGGACAACTTTTCCTCATACAAACGGAATCTGATTGATATATTTTCTATTGCAGTTTTTCTTCATTCTTCGCAAGAAGAATAACCAAGTGACGTTTCTACACGTGTATCATCACGCTAGTATGTGCGTATTGTGGTGGATGGTCTGCAAGTGGATTCCAGGTGAGAGGGATGGATGGCTAGAATAAGGCAGGGGATGGGGGGTTTAAAAGAAGTGGTTAGTCAGTGGGTGTGGTCAAAGAAAGGATTCCCGGTGAGAGGGATGGGAGGAGTGTAAAAAAGACACGGTTGATGGGTGTCGTTAGCAAAAGGATTTCGGGTTAGAGGGATTGCAGGCTAGAGTAAGAATGGGAATGGGAGCGTTTGCAAGACGTGTCTAATGGGTGTGATCAGCGAAAAGATCCAGGTGAGAGCGATGGGAGGCTAGAGTGAAAAAGGGGATCGGAGTGTTAGAAAGACGCGGTTAATGGGTGTGGTCAACGAAAGGATTCCAGGTGAGAGGGATGGGAGGTTAGAATAAGGTAGAGGAGAGGAGGGTAAGAAAGACGCACTTGATGGGTGTGGTCAGCGAAAGGATCCAGGTGGGAGGGATGGGAGGCTAGAGTAAGAAAGGGTATCGGTGTTTTAGAAAGACGCGGTTAATGGGTGTGGTCAACGAAAGGATTCCAGGTGAGAAGGATGGGAGGTTAGAATAAGGTAGAGGAGAGGAGGGTAAGAAAGACACGGTTGATGGGTGTGGTCAGCGAAAGGATCCAGTTGAGAGGGATGGGAGGCTAGAGTACGAAAGGGGATCGGTGTGTTAGATGCGTTTAATGGGTGTGATCAGCAAAAGGATTCCAGGTGTGAGTGTTAGTCACGTATTAGGGTAGGGCATCCGTGGAAAAAGCATTGGACAGGATGTAAAGAAGCACGTCTTCGGTGGGTGTGGCCTTTAAGGGAAGAGAAAGAACGATGCGTGTATTATTATTCCAACTGAGTTTCTGGTGACAAAGTTGGAGAACAGAAGAGATTGAGGAGAAAGAACGTGTTTACATTACCTCCCTTCCTTTTGGTCATGATTTTCACTTAAGACCTAAGTAAACGCCACCAACTATTTTTTGCAGTGAGACAACTTACGGAAGAAGAAAACAACGAATGTGAAAATAGACGAGGAAAATGAAACTAATTTTAAATTAAGATCGATATCGATCACGTATCACGTAACTTCCAATTTCCCGTTTTCACGCAAGTAAGATAATTAAGAAAACTTACTTTATATTAACACTTTTCTTTTGTTTTGTTTCAGGAGGTGTCTGTAAGTATCCTGTCAATATCTTTTATGTAGTCGCTTTACTCCCTTTTTTGTAACTTTGTATTTTTGAAACAAATTTCTGACTTCCTGTCTTTACTTTCAGCTTACTTCGGTGCAACATGCAATAGTTTTGTTCACGTGGTCATGTATGCTTATTATGGTCTGTCTGCGATTGGTCCACAAATGCGTCCGTATCTGTGGTGGAAACGCTACATCACAAAGCTTCAACTGGTAAGAATTTTCTCACTTATTACAATACCTTATAGAGCTGAGCGATTTCAACTGAGTGACGTGAGACGAAAGGATTAATCTGACCATTCACAACAGAAGAAGACTTCTAATGAACCAATCAGAACTTAAAGCAAATGTGTCTAAGCGCGGTAAATCGCCCGCAAACAAGACTTTTGATTGGCTGAAAAGCTGTATCACGATGTCGTGTAGATCACAAATTGAAGAATTACAAAACGGAAGACTATGAATTTTGTGTTTACACTCGTTTGAAATGCGCTCTTCTACCGTAAAATTCCCCGAAAGAAAGCCCCCAGTTATAAGTTCATCTACCCGTCAACGTAATGTTGCGTTAATAAGCCCTGTCTATGTTGTTTGTTTGCTTTTTTTCTTAACATAGGCGCTAAGCCTTTAAGGTTCTGTTGGAAAGCCTTAAACTACGAGTTCGATTTTTCAGTAAATCAATAAAATGACTATTTAACTCTTAGAAAACGAGAACTAGTAGTCTAATTATTTTAGTAGAAACTAAATGACATGCTACTTAAGATTCTAAATCAAGTTTTAATGAAAATGTAAATAAACAAGCCTTTTTATACACAACTAATTTTGTACTTATTACCATTTAAAACGTTCTATCCGTTTTTTATTATTGTTTTATCGGTTTTTTGATTCATTTACCTACATATTCATCAAAGACGATTTGTTAAAGAGTTTGCCGTTGTTTTGCCCTTTTTCAAAACTTAGGGCTCGCTACTCGCGTGAAAACGTATTTGGATATCGCCATAATCATTTTTTCTCAAGAAGTTCAAGGGGCTTCCTTCAGGAGCTTTTTGGAGGTATCGTAAAGCAGATTAAAAAAAAAACGATTATAAACTGAAAGAGTGCGCTCTTTTTTGTTTCCGCTGGTTCTGCACTTGTTCGCAAAGTGTTTTCATATTGTTCTCAAGGGTATATTGTTTTCGTATTAGCAAGCAACGCCAATTGTGCATATTAAACACGTAGCCAGCATCAAAAATTTGTCTGAAAATTCGTCTTTCCGCTATTCAGAGAAGCTGTAAAGCCACAAGCGTATGGCATCATTGTCAACCGTCGTTTATATCAACCGCGCCAGCCTTAACAATTGCTCTTAAAAACAGCGGTTAGCAATAATACTCTGAGCACACTTGATTTATTTTGTAAAAATTTTGGTATTTTAACATCGTTCGTCTTGCCGCACTGCAAAGTCGTAAGTGCTTCTAAAACCAAAGGCATGTTTTGTCTCAACTAAGGCTATGTATACATTATACTGGATAACTTTTCACGTCGACTTGAAAAGCTGTCCGCTATAGTATGAATACCTGTTCATTCTGCACAAAAGAGTGGCATAGAAACCTGTCCGATCCACGTTCAATATATGGGCGGGGCGGCTACGCCCCTCTACAGAAACCACACCGAAGTGAGCGTTCTTATGTGTGAACAGGAACCCTATCCGAGATGGTTTACGTCCCGGCGCAAGAGCTATCAAGTATAGTGCAGACATACCGTAAAATTCCGAAAAGAAGCCCCGGGGCTTATCTTTTTCAAAGGCCCTTTTTGTGGGGCTTGTTTTTGGAGGGGCTTATATACGGAGGGGCTTATATATGGAGGGAAATTTGCGTTTCGACATCGATTGGGCTAGCCTTACAGTGGAAGTAAATTTACCGTTTTTGCTTTGTTTTACTTTGAATTTGAGGGTAATTTTCCTAGTACAAGCCCCCGGGGGGCTTATATTTGGAGGGGCGATTTAACGGAGGGTTTTTTGCGTTACGAGTTTGGGGGGCTTATATTTGGAGGGGCTTATACATGGAGGGGCTTATTTTCGGAATTTTACGGTAGCTCAAGTCTCTGATTCGATGTTACTCTGGGTCCTCTTCCGTTTGTCTCTGTCGACCATGTTTCTTTCGCAAAATGGCTCACAGTCTGGTTTAATGCGCTCACACTTAAATTATGAAAACATCCAAGTTCCTATCTTATGTTATATGGATTGACTAATCACTATTGTTTAGGAATGGAAATAACAGTTAATGACTAAATGATGTTTTTTTCCGTGCTTCTATGCAAGTTTAGTAGACTTACTTATACATAACGTCTTCAATAAAGCTTTGATACAAATAATGTTGTCCTGTCTCTTGTCCATGTTAAATGTATTGAGAGTCGTTTAGTCTGACATGAATTAATCTGGCTATAAAGCTTAGAACAGTTAGTTATTGCGGCACAATGAGAATCAAATTCTTTTCAAAATACAAGAGAATAGTTAGTACGTCGGCATTTGAATGACTGATACCTTAATAATAACTGTAACACGGGTGCGTAATTTGAGTATTGTCAGCAGGAAGGAATACTATTCTAAATGTATCTTGAAGTCATATTTAGCTTTATTTTCAAAGGAAAAGTGGTAGTACGTTAGTTGGTCGAGTCATGGAGGATATCCCTTGTGCGAAGGCAAGCGCGAAGCGTGATAGAAAACGTTTAGGGAGCCTCGTTGTTTTGATGCGTACTATAAGAGGTTGTGATGTAAGAGGATAATAGCTATGATTCATTATATGACACTACTTTTTTTATCAATATGCGTCTTTATTGGTTAAGAAGAGACTGTGCAATATAGTATATGTAGAATCATTGTAGATCATGTGTGCTATCGTTCGACTCTTGATTTTAGCTGACATTCTGCAGTTGTACTCATAATATTTGTTCTTAACAAAAAGTGTTTTCTCAAAGCGTTATTGTAACAGACATATTCGTTCGATAGTTGAGTCCTTTGAAACGTTAGTAACGTTTTCACTAAGAATTCTAGTAGTAGGAGAAAAGTGTAACTTAACAGGAGAATATTGTGAAAAAGGCTTCATGTCTGAATAGCAAATAGTTATAGGCTATCGCACGTTCTGAGCCGGAGAATTCTGTGTACTAAACGGAGAATTCTCAGATCTCCGATGCCTAATGAACACCCTGCCGGTTACTACATCAAATGAGGACTTTTTTCCTTTTTTTGTGTAAACGCAAACAATGGAAGTCGTCTTTACAAAGTGTAAAAACATAATTCATGACACAGAGATAACCCAAAAAAATAGTAATAATAATAATAATAATAATAAATAAAGTATTAGCTCGGAAAAATAGTTTCCCCCCTTTGTCTTTTTGGGACAGTCAGGGCACAGTAGAACCGTTGGTCGTCTTGGATTCAGGCCCTAAGCTATGAAAAAGGTCTACTTTAAGGGGCTGTGTCCAACTTCATGTAGTCTATTTCGCTTTGGTTATAGTGCCAGTTATGCCTCCTTATTCGCTATGAAACTTAAGAAATTGTACCAGTGAACTAAAGATCTGTGAATCTCTTGTAATGTTCAAATCACTGATTAGGTTTCACTGTTTTTCAATGATGCATTTGCATAATACCCTCATTTTCCTACTACGACCGGGATGTTCCCAGGGTTTTGCTTTTTTGCATAAATTACGGCTGTTCTTATTTGAACCTCGATAGGACTATCAAATTTGAATATAAAAGGAACGCGAAAATGATGTGTGCTGTTACCATTCAAATGAAACCTCTTATTCACCGTTTGAGATTTTATAGAAAGAAATTTATAATTTTTTGTGAATTTGTTAGTTTGGCCAGTATTAGGAGTGGGGCCATGTCACAAGAATTTTGCTCTGTGAGGTCAATTCTCTGCTGAAGTCATTACTTCCTTTACCTATACCGCCACAAATTGATCCTATAGAGTTAAGAAGAAGATATTAAACAAATTTTAACAGAGAGCAATAAACATAATACTTTTTTGGTGTTTTTTGCCGGGCATAGCATTAAAACTTAAAAAAAAAAAAAAGACAACTTTTTTTCAAGATTCAGTCCATGTTCACCCTTACTATCCCGTAGCAACAGACGACAGGAAACAGCTTCAATACCTAAATATAGTCTTTACCCGCCCAAATATCCACATACAAATTCTCCATACTGATATTCATACATTTCCCTAGAGATAACTTGAGAGAGTTTAATAAAAGATCATAGCAGTTTCTCTTTGGTGATCATTTGACTAATTCTCGTAACGATTTGTCTTGACAACGTATGGATATTGTTAGGAGAAAATTAATGTTGGTCACTATTGGGACTGAAAGGGTTAAATAGCGAAACCGGACCATTATTTTTGGAATTCGATTGTTGCAAAGACATGTTTTAGCGTTCTTAAAGATAACAAATATTGTGGCATAGCCCCTGCAAGTTCTTTGTGGTGATTTTTGTGCTTGTTTGCTTTTGTCTTTGTAGACTCAGTTTACTGTTATCATAATATCTGGGGTGGGCGCGTTGTTCAACCACGACTGTAAATACCCCACTTGGGCAAAATGGATCATGGTTTTCTACACATTCACTCAGCTGGCACTTTTCAGCAACTTTTACGTCAAAACGTATCTGCAAAATAGACAGAGCAAGATGGCGGACAGCAAAAAAGAATCGTAGGCAAGACTTCTGGATTAAACAACCAATGACCCGGACACAAACACACAACTCGGTGATTAATCATTTCGCGATCGTCGCAAGTGATGGACTTTGACAAAAAAATATTTTTTTAAAGAAAGCAATATATGACTGGATTAGTGATTAAAAAGTGAAATTATTTTCATTAAATTTTCGCCTACGATCATTCCCTCCCCATATCTCTTACATGCCTTCCCCCTCTCCAGTCCAGAAAAACAAAACAAAACAAAACAAACACACAAACAAACAAAAAAACATCGTGATCGTAGTTTATTGCGTTATGGGATTTCTTGACGCTGGATGACATCTGTTTTTAAACTTCTGTACTCTATTTAAAGCACTTGTTAATTTTCACTGAATGAGATACTGGCGTGTATATACTTTCATGATATCTAATTTTAATCGAAAAATGGGTATTCAATTTTGTCGTTTATATGTATTGGTGTAAGGGTTTTCTATTCTGTTATGTTTTTACTCTTTTGTTTTCAAAAAGGATAAGTAGAGTAGGTTATTTGTTCGTCATTTAAACTGAAAAATAATATTTTTTTATAATAAAGTTATCCAGCATTGAAGGTGTTGTACAGTTTTATTTTCAAGCGAGCTTATTCATGCAATCGTCAGTTAAGAGTACAATACAATACATTACAATTTAGTTCACATTTCATTTTCTTAATATTTTTATGGTTTCATAGTAGACTGTATTCTGAAGATTATTTTGAATATTAAGGTTAAGCGTGAGGTTTTCGAGATAAGCTATAGCCAATGTATTTGCAATCTTTGTATACCTCTTGGTGAAGGGCAAATATAATGTAAGACACAGTTCGTGAGCCGACATGTAGAAAAATAGCATCTAAATATCAAGGCAAAGCAGACCCTAGCAAAAGGAAACAAATAAATGAAGAGATAAATAAAGCAGCTGCAAAGCATGCGAATAATAAACAATTATTGGATGAGGTTTCTGTGATATCCGGAATAATCAAGGTCAAGGGAAGTGTTATCACCTGAGCTGACGGCCGAGGCTGATAGCACTTACCGAGACCTTGATTATTTATGATATCACAAAAACCGAATCGAATAATAGTTTCATTATACACTGTTTTGAAGAAAGTAACAACAAACACACCGTCGCCAGGAACCTGAATTAACACTGTTATTGGAAATCATGCCATTACGCGTGCAACCTACAGATTAGTCAGTTATCTGCTAGCAGATAACTGACTAATCTGTAGGTTACGCTGATTTCTAAAATTAGCTGCAGGCTCTTAGCCAATAAGAAGATAGATAGTGAATGAAATGTATAATAATAAAAAATTATTGGACGAGGTTTTTGTCACATCCGTAATAATCGAGGTCAAGAGAATTGTTATCAGCTGAGCCGACGGCCGAGGCTGATAACGCTTACCGAGACACTGATTATTCCGGATATCAAAAAAGCGAGTCTAAAAATTGTTTTATTTTACATTGTTTTGAAGAAAATAACGACAAACACCGGCGCAAGGAACCTGAATTGACATTGTTCTTGGAAATCATGCATTGCGCACGCAACCTACAGATTAGTCGGCTGTCTGCTAGCAGATAACTAACTAATCTGTAGGTTGCGCAGATTTCCAAAGTTAACTGTAGGCTCTAAGCTAATGAGGATACAGATAATGAGTACAATATATAATAATCGAGAAAAACTGTAGCCAATGTAGTTGTAATTTTTGTGTACCTCTCAGTGGACAGCAAAGTTGTAAGACAAACAGCACTAGAACTTACATAAAGCAGAAAGCATGGCATCTAAACACCAAGGCAAAACAGAGCCTAGTTTAAGGTGATAAATAATAATAAATAAAGTAATCATAAATCAGCTGCAAAGCATACGAATAAACGAGTTAATCTGCGTAGTACATACGAGAACACACTTATAACCATAGCCTCCCATCTTTTCATCCGTTGACTGATAAAACAAATAACGGACACGTACCGAAACCATTTTTCAAGTTTAACGAAAATCGCTCTAAGGTGGTTCCGTGAACGGAACACCTAAACGCACGAGTTTTTAATCGGTCGAAAATTCGCCAGGTGCCGCGTGAACACGGCCTTTGTTGAGGGAAGTATGCATAAGCCTGAGAAATCAGCTGACATTTGGCGACCCCACCACTGGTTTCTCCGCGAAATGACGTCTGAGAGACGAGCACAGAAATTTCATACCCATTCCATGGGTAGTGTTTCTGATTCGGGTTTAAGCTAATTTTCAACCAATCAGAAGCACTACCCAGATCTTGGTAGTGATGCGTCATCAGTATGGAATGTCTGTGCTCGTTTCTCAGCCGTCATTTCGTGGGAAAACCAGTGGCGGGCGGCGTCGCAAAATGTTGGCTGTTTTCTCAGGCTAAGTATGAATAAAAATGCTGCAAACGAGTTTGGGAGGTCAGATGCACGCAGTTGTTCCTGGCGTAAACGGTCGCTGTCATTTTTAAGACAATATGCCAATTTTTGACATGTTATTGAGAGTGTTTCTTTTAAAAAGAAAGAAAATCGCAACCCAGGGACAAAACCGGACCTTTAGTATCCTTATCTCTCTCCCTTACGACTACACTACCAAACCGACCCATCAAAATTCCAGAAAAACTTAAGTTCATAAACTAGCAAACTGTCTCTCTTAACTATTACATCAATAACAGGTGACCCTAGTCCGCTCCATAACTATGAACGTGAATTCAACTTGGGTTCCAAGGCCGTTCTTTCTAAGACTATTCAAAAACGTTGAAAATGGAAACGGCCGTTTACGAAAGGGAAATTGTCGGAGGCGACGCTTATGGTAACCTTATTTTTTTTTCTTTTTCTTGAACAGACTCAGTTTGTGGTAGTTCAGATTTACATAGTGAATGCCCTGCGAATTGATTGTGGCTACAGTAGGAATCAGCTCTATCTGACTTGGTCTTATCTTGTCACTTTAATCATCCTGTTCGGCAACTTCTACGTCAAGTCCTATCGTAACAAAAGTAACAACAAAGACGGCTTCAGCGAGAAAAAAAATAATGAACTCAAAAAATCGGAGTAAATACTTGTAAGAATATTGATATGGTTGGCAGTGAATACCCGTTGTTTTATATTGTTCTAAGGTGTAAGAGAGGGCCCATATTGTTTGCAATTCTGGCAGTACGCCAAAGGAACAATTTTAACAAGACTAATATTTTAACTTTTAGTGCAGTGATGTGAGATAAATGTTTGTAGCTGCTTGTGCGATACAAAATAGGAAGGCGAAGAGAAATAAGTTGTCTTAAGGTCATCGAAATGGCTACATATAGAAAGGATAATACCTTCCGCAACTTTTAAAGTCGCAAATTTTGCAGTCCACCGTTAGTTGCTGTCTGGTTTGGATCCGTAGATTCATTTTATTTCCTGTTCCTAATGAAGGAAAGAGACAACAGAGAGAAAATTGTACTTGCAGTACTTTTATGGATGTTATAATTCCTGGTTAGTGACAAGGGAGAGTAGACGCACATGCGATCTCAGTTATCATTGAAATTGCGAATTTTAGTAATTTGTTTCTTGACACGGAAAATATTTCTCACAGAGAAGGAGAAAAGATCAGTAGACTTCTTTTCAGAAGTAGAACGTCGTTAGATAGTAAAGAGAATTGCAACATTTACCGACCAGTCAATAATCAGTCATTTAACCCCTTGGTAAAGTCTCAAATAGTGACCAACATCAATTTTCTCCTAACAAAACCATACGTTATCAAAAGCAAAGATTGAGGAATAATAAAATGATTACGTAATGTAAAATGCTTTGATCTTGTATTAACTTTTCCCAACTAATTTGTAAAGGTCATTTTGAAGAATTTGTATCATGATTTTCTGCATTAAAATAATTTTGTTTGAAAAGTGATGTCAAAGTCTTGTCATATTGTTTCATCAAAATATCAAATAACCCTTAATTCGCCAAAAATGCTCCGCCACGCTTCCTATTTTCAATCAGTTTCTTTTAATAAACGTTGAATTGTCGTTTTTGCTCTATAACGTTCTAATCACCCCTCAGGTGATGAATCGTATATTACATATGAGAGTTTTGAGGTTGAGGTGCGAATACAACAACAGACGAAAAGTCAGGCAGTTTCACTGTTATTTTTTTAAAGGGGTATTTCCTGACCATGGCGGACGAACGAAATGCTTAAAGCCGCAGTTAATCAAGTGAATATACACGACAAGTCAAGAAATGAAGGCAATAGATATTATGAAGCTTCGTTCTAATAGGTTTTGTCTCCTCTTTGTTCTAGATCCAATTCATGATTGTAGTAGTGCACACTTCCAATGCTATTCAAATCAATTGTGGATTTCCAAATGGTTTCTTGTGGCTCCAGTCTGGTTACATGTGTTCTCTGTGTATTTTATTCATGAATTTTTACAGCAAAGCCTACGTTGAAAAGAGCAAAGGCGAATGATAGTTTCTAGAACTTTTCAGTTTTTTTTTTTTAATTTTAAGGCAGTTCCTCGGAATAACATTGGTAAAAACTCAAACAGATGTAAGGTTGTAAAGCATTAATGACTCGATTACGAACGATAATTTATTAATGATCCTAGCCTGAAAAAATAGCCGACATTTCGCGACGCCTCTACTGGTTTCCCCGCGAAATTACGACTGAGCAACGACTGTATGAATCCTATACTGATGACGTGTCACTGCTGAGATCTGGGTAGTGCTTTTAATTGGTCGTGTTGCGAGGGAAATTTGTTTCAATCAATCAGAAGCACTACCCAGATCTGGGTAGTTACACGTCATCAGTATGGAATCTCTGCCCTCGTTTCCCAGACGTCATTTCGCGGGAAAACCAGTGGTGGCGTGTCGCCAATGTCGGCTGTTTTCTCAGACTAAAATGGCCCTTCTCCAAGAAAAAAATCTATTGATTCCAACATATTACTTAATGTCAAACAGAGCGCATTATTTATTCGGTAAGAGTCTTAAAGTTCTGTGGGTTACCCCAAGCTGTAATAAGATATTTCTTTCAGTTTCACATAAACAGAGAAAAATGATTATTTAGTTTTTTATAAGTTTTTTAAGTTTTTTAAAGTTCTGTGGGTTACCCCAAGCTGTAATAAGATATTTCTTTCAGTTTCACATAAACAGAGAAAAATGATTATTTAGTTTTTTATAACATTGTTTTACTTTTTTTTAATTAAGTTTTTGGTATTTTTACAGTTTGCTAAAAAGTTGTATAATTTTCTTTTTTTACCCTTGTTACGTTTATAGCTAGGTAATATATAAGGAAAAACAAGTAAAAATAATCTAAATATGTTTTATTGATTTAAAGATAGCAGATTAGATTCATTGTACATTAGAGACAAAAAAGTAAAGAATTATCATATCAATACTTCTATGACTGATCTATATTAAAGGAAAAACAAATAAGAAAAATCGAAATCGATTTTCTAGATTAATAAGTAGCCGGTTGTGGTCTTTGTATATGTTGTGGTTCAGTATTTTTTCGTGGCTTAAATTTTATTTTCTTTTGTTTTAAACTCATTATCATATATCACCGTAACCGAAAACGAAAGAAAACAAAATTTAAACCGAGGATAAAATTGAGCCATAACATATACGTGAGGGGGAAAATGAAGTATCTCAGTTGTTAAGTTTTCTAATTAATGTTTGAATTAATAATAAATAACAGTAGAGTACCGTAAATACTCTATTAAGCCCCCTACGGGGCTTATTTATTTCAAGCCCATTTGAGGGGGGGGGGAGCTTAATAGAGACGGGGGGCTTTTTTTAAGGGGGGGGGGGCTTATTTAATTTAGAAATGGCGATGGTATCAATTCTCCATAAAGAACTAGAATACAAAGTGGAGAAGCTCAAGTACAAGATGTTTTCGGTCATACAGCTGAGGATCAGACTCAAATCCGAACTTCCACTTGGTAGATAAACCATCCCGGATCAGTCCACACAAAGTTTTACAGTCGTGATTGATTAATATAGTCTATCATTCATTAGAGAAGAATAATTAGGGTGGGGAGCGAGGGCTTATTAACTTTCTTCCCCTAAAAAAGGGGGAGGGGCTATCAGAGGGAGGGGGCTTATTTGAGAGGGGGAGCTTAATGGAGGATTTACGGTAAAAAAAAAAAGACTGTGCGAGATGCCATTTGTGTCATAACAGTACTAAAAGTCTGAGTTTTGATGTGTAGCATATTATATGCATAGATTACCTTAAATGAAAACATTGCGTTCAAAATAAAAGCTGAAATATTAAGCAATTATTGAATGAGGCTGAGTATCATCTGAAGAGTTATGGAGATCAAGAAGGGTGTTACGGCAAACTGCACTTGAATTCTTTTGTTTTACGCCTATTACCAGGGCAACATAGAATCGAAAAAGTGCGGTCATCAAAACTTTCATACTTTACGTACGCGAGCTATACTTGGGTGATTCCGAACAAACCCAAAGCACGCGCCATTCAATAAAACGTTTTGGAAGGGGTGACACATTGCCCTCGCCTTCTAGCCCTTGGGAGCATCAAGTAGTTGAACTGGTTGGAAGGATTATGAACACTCCTTTGTCAAAGAGCTTTGTTACTCGTCTCCATCACTAACTACAAACATGATCTAAGAATTAAGTAAATTCTGGAAGATGTAATATCGAGCTCTCTTCGTGAAACATTGTTCCTATACCATAATGCCAAGGCCAATCAAAAGCCTAGAATTGCAAGGATTAAGTTTTAATCGAAATAGTAACTTTTACCAGTTCTTCAAAAGTTATACATCCAAAGCGAGCGTAGCCTGCGAACGGCAGAATCGCTCCACTACGGCGCGAAATTTTTCAGACTCTGACGTGTGTATTGTGGGGGTTCACGAACCCCCTCCCCTTCCACCACCCCCCTTCTACTAATACCACCACCACCACTACCACCACTTAAAGATCTGTAAAATTCCGCGTCTTTGCGGTGCGTCATCTTCGTTTGTCACAATCGCTATTGACTGGTTCTAGTGGAAAGTTGAACAAAACCGTGGAAGGGTTTATTTTTAGTAGTGTAAAGAGGCGTTTAAATGTGGTTAGTGATAAACTACAATGCAGATATGATTCTCTGTCTCTCCTCTTAACGTCAAAAACATTGATAAAAGTTAAGTGACTAACGTTTTATTTGTTGCTTTCTTGAACAGCTCCAGTTCCTGGCAATTCTACTTCACACAACATGTGCGTTATGTATGGCTTGTGGATTTAGCCAAAAACTGCTCTTTTTGTTGTGGGGTTACTGCATCAGTTTGATCATCCTCTTCGCTAATTTCTACGTGAAGGCGTACATCGACAAGAGTAAAAAAGTGGAATAATTTCACAAGTGTTTACATCTGTTTTTCTTTTTCACGTTCTCAATTTCTAGCCTCGAGATTATAAAACTCCGTCGTCGGCTGCCCCGGGCACCACAGTGAGACAGAGGAAAGCTCGAGAGATTTTCTGAAAACGCGTGAGCGCGGTTTATTTCATTCTAGATATTTTGAGAATGGACCTCTGAAGCCTGGGTAGCTCGGCTCGAATCGTTAAGTATTTGAACAAAGAAAAAACTTTTCAAAAACATTAATATATTAAAAAGAAAACATATTATCTGCGGAATTCATATAAAATGTTTCAATATGTTCAATTTTATGAGGGAAAAGTGATTTTTGAGTATTTGTGTACATTGTTACCTCAAAGGACTGCTAGTGCGTACCGGGAAGTTTTATATATATATATATTTCTTTAAGTTAGCTTTTGTACTTTTTTTGTTTGTATTATTGTTACAGTACCTTAATTTTTTTGGAACAAAAATAACTGAGAACGTTCCCGACTGTAATGTATATTATGTGTTATTTTGGTATCCTGACAAAACATACGTACGAGATTTTTCAGAAGTGTATAAGTTCTCATACAAGCGTGGCTTGCGTAGCTGGCGGTTTTGTTGTGTTTCGCAAAGTAAGAGTTACAGCCGCGCGAAAGCTGAATCGAGGACAAAAATGAAAACGATGGGGGAGGGGGCGAGGGGAGAAGACACGTTCAGCTTTTGCGCGGCTGAATCTCGAGACTTGCTGCAAGTCGACTTCTCATACAGCTCACAAGTTCTTAAAAGTGAACGAAGCAAGTCTCTTGGCATAACCAATCAGGATAAAAAAAAATAGGACTTTAGAAAGTCTACTGAATCTCTTACTTTACGAATCACAAAAGAAAAAACACACCAAAAAAACCCCAAGCTAAGCAGGCCAATACAAGAGAAAAATAAATCAATAGTATGTGTTCCATTACGTATAAGTTTTTGTTTTTGTTTGACAAACCTCATATGACTGCAACAACATACGTTTTGAGCTTAGAACAGACATTTTTTTCGTTCATCTTTGTAGCTTTATATTCATGATAATTGCAATTATCTTCAGATTATGACTCACGCTTTTTTTAATCAGATTAAGGTATTGAAAGTAGACCCGACTCGAATTAACACCCTGATGGGCTCCTGACGTTGACGGCAAAATTACTTCCCAAAGAAATTAAAAACATAGTTGGGGGTAAAAATTAAAGTGATTCGCGCAAAGAAACGGAATTTGTGGAGACAAACGGAACAACACAAAATGTTCTCGATCTGCATAATTCTTCACATCCTACTCAGCCTCATACAATAATTGCTAAATATACTTTTTTGTGTTAAGATCAGACCAAGATTAAAGATTTCTTCAAATGGAAACGTCAAGCGACGCAATCTCCACCTCCCCCAAGCACCTTTCACTTTTTTAGGATAAGATAAGGTATTGTTTACACGGGCAACACAGAGAAAGTTAGCGTTACGTTTTTGGTGTCTTGATAAAACACTGGAAAAATTGAACAAACCAAAAATGAAATTAATTAATTATTGAAACATCACAGGGTTTCAATTTTTCTGACATTTGAATTTGGAAATTTTTGACTTGGATTGATAAACATCAAAATGATCACCGTGATCACTGAGCAAGAAATATAACTGAACTTCAATATGTAAAAATCACCATTTATTGGTACGTATTTTAGAGCATTTAAAGTATTTTATCGACAATTCGGAAATTAAGGCCCTTC